TACATAATTTCTATGAATAATAAATTTCCATTTTTATCCGTAAAACAAAACAAAATCAATAATATGCAACCCATTGTGCTCGTGTAAAGATGTGTCTGGAATAAATTGAAGCATAAAATTGATTAATACCTCCGGGTAAAAAGCAACTAGATAACTGAATGTAAAATACAACTAGTATTGTAATAATTGCATGTCTGCCACGTTGGATAACACGGTTTGACTGTTTTGAGACTATTTGGACGCTGAGAAATCGTGGAATATATTCGCTATAAACTCCCTTGGCTAGCATTGTGGGTTGCTCGCCTTTTAATGTCGCATTGTTCGCCCGCTGGTGAATGCACGACAAACTATTTCTAATTGTAATTGCCGCTACAAATTGCAATTACAATGCGCGCAGGAAACGCACTGAGATTACAGAACTGCAGCATTTGCAAAGTTTGCCAACTTTTTTTGTTTCTGTATATTAATGTATGTTGGGTTGCGTTTTTTTTTTTTTAGTCTATAGCTATTGTGGTAACTGCCAGCTCATAAACAAGATAATGAAAATGAAATCGACTTAACTCGACTCCGGCTAATGTCTTAGATGAATAACTCAACTCCAAGTTAAAGTTGGTTATTAATAAACGTTTCATTGTTCGGGCGCGTTGTTAACGCGCACCTCAGCGCGCTGAAATCTGAAATGGGAAATTGAATGAACACCCCACGGCGCCTCACAATTGTATAAAGTGATTAAAACTTGCTGTGGACGCTCGCTGAGTAGTGATGATGAAGATGAGCATGATCGAAATCAACTTGCCTTCATTCCCTACTTGAGCGCAGAATGCGCGGAATGCTGGAATAATTAGACCTTTCACTTGAGAAGGGTTTGCTGGACGCATGTATAAACATGTTTAAACATCCTTAAACGTGTCATGATTCTCCATGGTGGCAGCAGCGAGAGGATTTTATGAGGAGCGAGTTATTAATGAGGGTTGGATCTGGCTTGGACTTGGGTCAGTCACGGACGCAGTGTCTTTACTATCTGGCTGAGATGTGATGTAATTTTGGCAGGTTTTCCGTGGAAGGCCACTGACCCAAGAAGAATTCAAGAAAGCGTTAAATCTAAATTAATGTCACATAAATTTCATTCTGGTAAAGGAAAATAAATTTTCCTTCAACCGTAAACATTGATTATTAGCAAATTGATAAACTGACAACATAAAAGCAGGTTTAGGTACTTCCGAGACGAAGTAATTGATTAATTATCATTTTGTTATTAATTAACACCGTTAGCACTCTTGTTTTGTGTGTGCTGGCTGCACTCGAGAATTACCTCCGGCAGGACGCTGATCAGTGGCGTGTCTGGCGTGCAATAATTTAATTAAATTTTAAATTAATTACGGCAACGGCGAGTAATGTTGGCTTGGAACTCAGGGGGGCAGGCGGGCCAATTAGAGGGCCGAGGGCGCAGTCGATTTGATGCAACGAGATGGAATGCATTGTTGCTGATAGCGATAGTCTCACCGGTCTCATCCAACTCGGAGTTATCGGAGTGTTATTGATGAGGTGTTGCCGACCACGCTCACGATGTTATTGTCATCACGCAGGCCGTGTACAAGTACAACAAATACAAGTTTTAATGAACAGATGACCAAAACGGGACTGAAAACTTATTAATATTTTACGCCTGCAGCGAGAAGGTTAAACGTACAAGAATGATGTCCTACGTGATGTTTAATTCGTAAACACCTAGTATATAATTAATTTCGAGATGGCCATAAGCCAAATGTAGCTGTTTGAAGGGTTTTTATTGACGTTGAATGTTTCATCGTGCCTTGGACAAGTTTAAACCCACGTAAACAATTCACAAACACATGTTTCGGACATGACAGCCTGCTATAAAAGCATTAGCAGTTGGTATTCGTTACCACACACTCAATAACATATCCAGCGCGGTTTGATAGAACCTAAATCAAACTTTGTTGATAGGTTATTAAATAATATTATCGTTGTGCGAGTAATGAAGATGAAAAGTCAGTTTTTATTGTTGTTGCTGGTGACGCTCGGGTTGATCTCCGCGTCCCTTTCAACTCCGACCGTAAAACAACCTTCGAGGGACGTAGAGGTCGATGTGGGTGGACACAAAGGGGCCGTGTACAGTCAGCAATACGCGAGGGTGCGTGTCCAACCCAACAATAAAGCGTCGATCATAAAAATGGAAAATGTCGAAGAGCAAACGACCCAAACAACACAAACGGATATTACTACTGCCCAGATGTCAACTGATATAACCCTAACGACAGAATCAAATACAAATGAATTATCTACAATAATCACTCCGAAACGAGACGTAGAAGAACTCACATCTACAGAAAAACCTTCCGAGGAAGGTTCAGGTGAATGGGATAAAGATCCAGATGTTGTAATTTTACCAGGTGCAACACCAAACGATTATGAAGAAGAAAATGATCAGAATGATACAGAACACACTCCGGATGTCCAAACAGATGGGTTCTACTTGTACATTTATCATCCGCGTGGATATTTCCAAAGAATCATTAACGAAAACAAACAACCAAGGTCACAATCCTATCAGTATCAATACAGACATCAATTTCATTGATCAATGTAGACGTAGATTAACTTCAACTTAAGTTGTATTTATGATTCAAATAAATTATCTTGACATGATGGGAAAACTTGCGCGTGTGAGGTTTGGGGTTTATGAGTTCCAGTTTGAAACGGTCATTGTGTGGGGCTATTGTTTGCCGAGTTTTCACCATGCCCCTTAGGTTGACCACCGGGAAATGCAGAGGACCCTCGTTGGATAAATGGATAAAGGACATAAAAAGCGATAATATTTCATCTGATGCTATAGTGGTGTGCATACAAATGCCACCGGAAGTGCGACGTGTTGGAAGTTGCCTAGGGTGTGTAGTTTAAATATTTACTAGGAAGTCCACAGCCCACAGGATAATTCGCTGGATTCCTTTCAACTCGTAACGCACATCCGGGCGCCGCGTATCTTCAACTTGATTATGTAGAGTGTGATGGGAGTAAATGTTGGGAGTCAAGTGTTATGTGGATCTAGATAGGATTGCTCATGTTGTTGACACATCGGTGTCAACTGGATGAAAGTGATGTCAATATGCTTTGCGGTTTCTTACTTTATACCACGTTGCTTATCAACATTGTGGTTGAAGGTATACGGTTATCATGTCAAGAGATTTCTTGCACCCTTGGTAATGCTGGTTGACTTCTCGAACACTGAGTCTTTGTTCTCGTAATCTCTCTGTCATATTGCATATTGGAGAATGTTGGGTTGCGTGCACCCTCGATTCACATTCACTCCTTTCCGTCTTGAGGGTTGCATAGCGGCTATAAAACGTACGAGTTACTATCGTCTGCGGGTTCTTACAAGGGTGCAGCTTTTTGCATGCTCGACCTTACCTCCGACCAAAAGGGGGCGGGTAATATGAGAGCGGCGGGAGTCATAACTCGTCGGCAGCACGGAAAAAGGTGAATAAACTGTTGATAACAGGAGTGCACGCGCTTACACACGCCTGCAAAGTGCACAAAAACAACCACCAGCCCTATGATACCAAACAAAGGAAAATGGGAGAGGCATAGGAGCATACCTGCACGAATTAATGAACCATTGCCACACCGCAACCCACTATACACACAAAGTGAAAGCATAAAAATATACGATGGAAAAACAGTCGAGTTTCAAGTGTATTGATGTATTTGATAAGCGTAATGGGTTTTATAGGTCTATAAATCATGAAAAATTGAAACACCACGCATGCGATAAGAGAATTTTTATTGATTTTGCAACATTTTTCCATTGAATAAATAAGTTTTTAATTTTGACGATTAAAATTCAATTTTGGAGAAAACCAAAGTCTGTGGGTCATACGTATAAATGGGTTCTTTGATAGGTTGAACATCCTTGTAGGTCAAGCGAGCCGTATAACCCATATCTTCAACTTTAGTTCCATAGACAACTCTCTGAAGCAAACCGTCCGGATGATAGATGTAATAGACGCCTTCCTGATCGAATTTCTCCGCATCCTCATTCTTCTCCTGTTTCTCTTGTTGCTTCAATTGATCCAAAGTGACTTCGGTCGTAGTGGGCATCTCAGTGGTGGTTGTCAGCTCCTCCGCAACCTCGGTGGTGTCAGGCAGGACTTGCGGTGGAACTCCGTAGTACAAATTAGGTTGGACCTCTTGCTTTTGTTTTTGTTGACGAAGTGGCAGACGGAAGAGTTGGCCGGACGGACGGCTTGGGTATGGCGCGTCGCTGAGATGCGAGAGGATCGGTACGGAGAGCGGCGAAGATGTTGCGATGCCAATTACGGCCGAGCACAGGACGAACGCGAGTGATAATTGCATTTTGTGATTGGACGATTGGGTTCTCCAGTTAACACTTAATCAATGAGAGGCAATGAAGCCGTAATGAAATCAATTGGACTGTGGTGTTGTGGGTTGGAGGAGACAACTGATATGGTGCTGTGATTTTGGATGGCTGTTTATATATACAATTTTTGTTTCCACAATCAGGGTCATTTTATCGCTAAATTCTTGTGTAATTTGTTTAAGGATAATGTTTGATGTTTTGAGGTGATTTATGTTAAGGGCCCTGACCGAATGTTACACTCATTGAATATGTGCGATCAGCCTCGAAATATGCACATATCAGCACAATAAGTGTCGTTTAATCGCATTTCGAGTGACCATAGTCACGTCACGTTTTTTTCGAAGCAGCTGCATACAAATTGGAAATTTGTTATTCGGGGCGACTTTCATTCGCTTATTGTTTTATTGCCGATAATTACAATGGGTCGCAGTGGGTCACGTCCGATTGAATGACGAGGGGATTATGTAATTGATCGTATGATTAAAATGGGGAATTTGCAAGTTATACCAAATGCATTCATTTTTCTCTTCAATGTTATTCACATCCAAATCATATAAAAACCACGCGCAAATTTTGAATCATTATCAGTCAACTCTTGATTGTCCAACCAAACACAACCAGTAACGACAAAAAGTGTAATTCACCCTCTCTCATAACCCAAAACAATGAAATTCATAGTCTGCGCTTTTGTTCTCTGCGTGGTTGTCGGAGCCACTCCCGACGCACCATTCAGACAGACGTACAACAGCCGATTTTTGCGTTTGGAAGCTGCACCGTATGCGCCGGCTGGATACCGTCCGCAGGGTGAACAATTCCGTCTGCCGGCCAGACCACTCTTTCAACGACAACAATCCGTGTATGGACCCCCGGAAGTGGCGACCGAGGAAGTCACCACGGAGACAGATGTCACCACCACTGAGGTGCCAACCACCACCGAGTACATTCCAAGGCGAGTGGTTCGGACCAAGAGCGCTAAGAAGGATAATGTCAAAGTGGAGAACAAACAAGACAATGCGGAAGCGGGAATTGGGCAGGAATTTCAACAGGAGGGTGTCTATTACATTTATCATCCGGACGGACTACTCCAGAGAGTTATCTACGCCACAAAGAGTGAAGATATGGGTTATACTGCAAAGTTGACTTATAAGGATGTTGAGCCCATCAAGGAACCCATTTACACCTATGATCCACAAAGTTTAAAATTCAGTCAAATTCAACTTTAATTCCACAACCATGTAAACACATAATAATATTTATTAATTGCATCAAAATAAAAATAAAAAAAAATAAAATTTTAGTTCATATTAAGTTTCCAGTATGTTAAATCTAGAATTACACCAACTGTAGGTACATTAGTTTAGTTTTATTTGTCTACTACCTGTTTGCTAACAGCGCGCACATTAAAAGCTTTCGATCCATTTAAACCCCGCGGAATCCCGAAATTAAAGCGCTACATGTTGGATGCTGTTTTAGCTGTTTTCCGTGTTGTGCAGCAGGATGCGTTAGATGTGCTCGTATCCCAGACAAACTGCCTAACAAAATGACTGCGCAACACAGTACAATGCAACACAGTATCAGTATAACAATTTCCGGTTTGTAACGACTTCGCAGCGGGTGTCTTCGGGCTGGGAGACAATGTGAGATACCGTGCTCAATTACTCGGAAGAGTGATAAATTTCAAAAATGATTGAAATGAAGTTTTATTGGACACAATGTATAAAAATACTTGTTTTTATTATGTCTGTATATTTATTTACATTTTTTGCTCAACCCGCGGGCTACAGCGGAGATAATCAGTAGATATTCTGTGTGTTGTTGACGTTGACATTGAGTATGCGCGATTGTCTCAGTAGAATAACAAATCGTTAGACATTGACTGAATTATTTACGCCGAGTGAATCGTAGCGACATCTCGTGTCGATTATTTGGAACTATAAATGTGATTGAATATATTTACTAACTTTAATCGCGTTTTTAACACTTTTAAACTTAAAATTTAACAAAAATAGCATCTTATATGATACTCTAATATATAAACTATATTATTACCAAGTTTCATCCAAATCCATCGAATAGTTTTTGTTTTATTCAACAATTTGTAGCAAAATACAATTCCACCATCATTAAACAGCGAACCAGTCGGGTTTATTATGTTTCTAAATCGTTATTCCAAGTGTTATTTATCGCACTATATTATAACTACCTTTATTATGCGCACTACACGAATCCCATTTTATTAACCCCATACGATTCAAACCCAAAAACATTTTATTAATTCAAAACTTCGACCCGAAAACAAAATTTTACTCGCATAGCCGCAGGCTGTTTAATAATTACCATACTTGTTTGAGACTTTTGTAATGCAGAAATGAAAAGTGCGGCACGTGCGCAATTTCGCGATGCGGCGTGTGCACGTACGTGCGGCTGGCGTAATAATTAAAAGATGTAATTAGATAGCAGGTCTGTGGCGGCGGCGGCGGTGGCGCTACTCGCGGCGCAAAACAATAACTAATCGTGGCGCATGCAAAACTATGGAGATTAATTAATTTCGAGTCGTTGCAGGCTCAAATCTCCGCTGATAATTAATTGCTATTCAATTAGGTAATGTTATTGCTGTTTGAGTAAGTAATATTTAATAGTTCAATAATTTTAATATGGATAATACAGGTGGTTTAGGTTCTGCATAGTTTTGCAGAATCTGTGCAATATTTCCACTCGAATGCATTAAACTTGCTTGAATTGCTTGAGTTTTATTTGCACGCCGAGAGTGCATGCACTATTTTAATGCATTCCACTCCAGAAATACTGGATGAATAACTAAATCGCAATCCGGTATGTATTGCACTCGAAGCAACGAATTGTAAAATTTTATTTACGTGTAGCGAAAATTCCGCCGTGCGTGCTTCCGCGTAGACTTCCTCCTTTGCGCAATAAACTCGTAAATTTCTTTCCTGAGCGCCTTCTTAACTCATCCCTGTATGCATAGACATATAAGAAACGTTTTAAAGTCGCTGCCGGGTTTTTCTAAGAAGGAAATAATTTTTTAGCGCAATAAAACGGAAATTCGCCCTTTGAGGTTGTGTTCTCCTCAGATAAGTTCCGTATGGCACATTTTACCAATTTAATCTCTAGGTAGACACAGACATCCGGCTGTAAAACGCCGCAACAATAGTCCGACGTCGAAATTATTAACGTGGGTTTTATTTGCGGAACCGATAAACCCCGAAACGTGTGTCCTTGCACACAATGCCGGAAAGTCGCTTTTATTTCCGATAAAATTTATAATCATGCAGTAGGGGAGGCAAAGAAAGAAATTTGCACTTAATTCTCAGTTGATTTAAACTCGTTAGACTTTCAGAAATTACAATACACAGCCTGTGCGATAATAAATTGTTTCTCATTTCCACTCGCCGACAAGAAGAGCCAAGTTTTCCTACTTCAATCAATAACATTGCACTACAGCTGGCGGGGTGGGTAGTTTTTCGACCGCAAACTTGGCATGGCGTGTTTTCATTCAATTATGCGAGTAATAGACGGAATTTGTATTTTTTGGGGTGGATTTCAAGGAAATACAACATTAATTATTTTTTTTTTGCATTTCATTATTAAAATTATACGTTTTGTATTGGTTAAGTGTTAAAACCGTTAAAATTTTTGTTGCAGTTATGAAAGATGCGATTTTCTTGGGCTGCAAACAATGAGCGATATTTTATGGCTTGCGGCGGCGAGGATAGCACGATGCGACTGCATCAGGATGTGTGATTCATCGGCGCCGACATGTGGCGGTTCAGCGACGATGGCGGCGACGGTGGCGGCAGCGTCTACCCTACCTTAGCCATTTTCCTCTTAGTTTTCATCTCGCTCGCATCGCAAACTCCGATTACTAGCGCTGGTAAGTTTTCCACGATTTTCCTCTCCAATTTGTCGGCAATATAAAATAATTGGTTGAATTTTTTTTCTTTCTTTAAATCTGTTTAATACACTTTGAAATTTATACGAACTAAATGCACCGAACTTATTTCTTGGTATGTAGAAGATAAAAAACGCTTTCACAGTGAAAACTTTCGGGCTGACAAAATGATTAATAGAAATCAATTATACGTGCTGTTCGCAAAATGTGCTCAATTGCGTTGTGGAAAAAAGCGGCGCGTGAAAAAGTTTGTCGAGTCGTGCCCAGAGGAGCGAGGAAACTATGGAATCGAAAGCACAAAACGATCGTTTAAAGCGCGTGCGATTCAGGAGTTCCTCAACGAAGTTAACGGATAGTGATGGATTGCGATAAGTTTTTCCGGAAGCAGACGTTATCGTGACAAGTTTCTTATTCCGCTAGTTTCACTTGTTAGAAATAGTTTGGCCAATATCACCATCTGATTGTGAATTAAACGTAAAACAAAATTTAATTTAATTTTCTGATATTTGGCAAACTAAATTTAATATTTAGAAGATTTCCTATTGTGATGTTTTCTTGAGCGTAACTTGGCTGGTCTAGTGTGGTAGCTCTAAACGAGTTTCAATTAAAACCGGACGCAGCGGTTGGCGGCTCCTAATTTCCTTTTAATAGAATTACGTCCTTTTCGGATCATCGCGACGGACGACAAGCTTTCAGCTGGTGTGGCAGGTCCAAAGCAAAGCTCGGGAGCAAACGTCGGATAAAGCTAACAAAGTGCCAAAGCCTTGCAAAGGACGCCTCATTGTAAATCTATTTATCCTTTGAGAAACCTAGTAAGGCTTAAGATTTAAGATTTCACCAAGAAAATAATCCTAATGAATTGCATCACAAAATAATTCACAACAAAATAAAATTTTTAGATATTTTCAGAAAATACGTTAAAATTGCTTCCTGTTCCTGGAAGAAGGTGTGTGATGACTTTATGAACTTTCCGGCTGTGGGTTTGGCCGACCTTGCAAACGGCGTGATATTGCCGCCGCCGCCACGGCGGTTGGTGTTTTTGAACGCGTGCCAAAAGTGCGACATCGCCAAATAGGCCAGTCGACGTTACCTAAATGTAAATGTACATGTAAATAAAATCGATAAATAGCCAAGTGTTCTCAGCATTGCAGGCGGCTAAAGAAAACCATCAAACACTCGCTGGACAATGCGAAACCTGCGAGGTAAAATTGGACAAGTTAAGAATAGAAATAAACGCGGCGGATTTTATGAATATTTTTGAAGTGTGAGGCGAAAAAAGCTCGTTTAGGTTTTATTAAAAAAAAAGAGCGTGAAACCATTCAATGAATTCTCAATACGCGGCGAATTCATCGTCAGGTTTTCCAGACTCATTCATATTTTCATTTTCATTTTCATTCGTTTATTTAATAGAAAAACATCGGTTTGGGGCAATACAAATAAAAATGAAAATACGGACGTGAAAGTAATTTATCACGAAAGGAAGAATTAAAAATGTAATTTTCTTTCTGCTGACAACGTTTACCGACGTAATAAATAGATTTGTGGTTATTTTTAATAAAATACTTGAATAAAGTGTAATGTGGGTTGCCTGACATAAAACATTATATGATTAACATATTTCTGCATCGTTTCTTGCATAGAAAACTATGTTTTCCGTTTTACTAATAAATAAACATATTTTAATGTTTAATTACATTGAACATATCATTAAATTACATGAATAAAGCTGTGTTTTTAATAAAATGCCTTCCGAGATGAAATTAATTAAAACTTTTATAAAACATTGTGAAACATTGCATATTGTTCACAAAGCATGTAAATATGCTTACAAAATAAACTTTCTTTGTTTCACTCAACTATGTAACTCTACATTTCCACATTTTAGCCTAATTATTAAAATATTTCAAATAATAATATTCATTGTATTACGCATCCTATTTTTTCGAATTTTCTGACTTCTTAGCGAAAACAAAAACGCGAAATGCTGAATGCCAAATTGAAAATAAGGAAGCATCCAAGCCAAGATAACAATTCGCATTGTGCATTGTACTTTAATACGAATCTACGACTGTTGACGACGAGACGATTCTTTGTTCTTTTTCTCTTCGCTTTTTCATTTCATTATTTACTTCGTTGGTCTGCTTGCAAGCACAGTCACAGTTAAATTCATGTGTAATTATAATCATGGCTATTGTTTAGTTTCTTTAAAGCTATACAGTTTTGTTGAAAGTTAAAAAATGCGTGATTTTAATTAGTTTTAGCTAGGTCTTGAAATGATGAGCATTTGTTTGAGGGGATTGGCAGTGCTTCGATTTGTAGCGCTGTTTTGGGGCGATAAAGTGAAATAAAGCGATAGTTTATTGCGGCTCTGTGCGGCTAGCGAAGGCGGTGAATTGGCCATTAATTAACTCGCCCGGAGGCAATAAATTAGTACATCGAGGCTGTATACAGCGCACTTTGTATACAGGATAATTTACACTTAGATCAAAACATTGAAATAATAAATTTATTATTCAAATTTGTTTCAATAAAATTCTCCGACGAAGAACATCTTTTATTCTTGGTTGTTTTCTTGTGTAGCAGAGTAAATTACGACCTAATTGTTACAAAATTGGCCCACTCGTAAACGCCTCACGATGCCGCCCCCAACAGGGGTGGCTATTAACCAGCATCTAATAAATTCCCCACGCACCGCGTTAATTCAATCCGTTGTTTTATACATTCACCTCAAAAACTAATTACTCTTTGCCGTGAACGCGCCGAAAAAGAAAGCATCAACAGCATGACGAGACGGTGAATTATAGCGTGGAGAGAAAAATGCGGAACGATGAAGTAATTTGCGCTTAAAAGCCCGACTGGCAGAGAACAAATAAAAATTTAAGAAAACTTGTTTACGCCACTACGGACAAAAAAATGTATGTTTATCGCAACCGGCTAGAAATTCAATTACCGCAGCAGGAAACCGGAAAAGTCGACGCGCTGTTTTATAGCGCTTACGGATGTGATTTACTTGTCAAGCTGCGAATGTTATTTGTTGATTTAATACGGAAAAGTAAATATAATAAAAAAATATATTAATAAATAATTTATTTCTGTGTTTTCCTACGAAGAATAAACGAAAAAAACACTGAATTTATACTAAAACTGTTTAGTTATTCTGAAAGCGTCTGGGCTTGTGGATAATTTCGTGGCGAGTAAAAAATCTCGCTGTCATTTTGCTCAATTTCTTTCGCCGGCAGACGCTTGAGAAAGTTCGGAACTTTCGGGCCGGAAAACTAAAGTGTCAAAAAAACTTTCGCATGTTACAACATGTTCTTCAGCTTGTGCTCTATCTCAATCTCCATGTGATTCAGTAAACAAAACACAAACTAACAAAAAATGCGCGTTTTTGCAAAAACTTTCCACAATACTCTAAGTAAATCGAAACAGAATAAAAACTCCGTTGTGATAAAAAGGATGATCGAAGTCATTGTTCGTTATAGGTACTATGGTTTCAGTGTTTGGTGAAAAGACATTTACTTTTAGCTTTTGGTCACACATCCGTGTCGTCGCACAGGAAACCAAGCAAACGAGAGCGCTGACTATGTTCACAAAGTTTCCCAACTACTTCACAAACAACAGCGGATAGGACGAGTGCTTCTTACACCTCTTCCACTTCTTAGACCTAAGAAGAACCACCGAAACTATATACCTTTGCTTTCCGCTTGACTATACACGGATATACTGAATGTTACCATCGTAAAACTGTCGTTTATTCGATGGGAATGCTTCGCATGAGTGTATAATGCGCAAGTTTTCGAAATGCGCCCTTGAGAGTGTGCACTATATTTAAAACTAACAACCTAACGGGGTGGAGGCGCACCCCGGCATCAACGCATCGTTATTGACAAACTCGGAACGAGAGTTGTTTCGGTTGCTAGGGTTTTTGTTTAAGTGTGCGCTATTTTACCCTCGACGTTTACAATCCTCTTTCGTTATGCCACATCCGACCAACGCCGACTCCACACATAACTTTCTGATGGGATGTAATGTATCTATCAGTTTGGAAATTTTGCACAAGTCAATTTAAATTTGCAGTTTTACCTTGCGTGGGCGTGCTGTAAAGTTTCTTTGATGAGCATCTTAAGCACACGTCGTGCAAATTGCAATCTAGGTATAATTAATGGTGAAATTTAGAAAGTGATTATGGTGATTTTTGAAATATGTTATACACGTTAAAAATATTTTAAATTTTGTTGTCAGAGTCAACGTTTTACTTATTATTTTTCTGATTTTGGCAGCATACCTTATAGAGAATTTAACCTAGATTAAAAATCTTCAATCCGTTCCTTTTTATTTCTTTTAGTTTACGAGATATTCACTATTGTAAAAAAAATCGTCAAAATTTAAAAATTTCAATTTTTAGCACTTTTAGTCACATTTTTCGCCTTTTTGCCTAACGATATTTAATTATTTTATACTTTAATCTAATAGACAATTTTCCAATCTTTCATAATCAGCAATTCGTTGCTTGTTATCTCTTTTAGTTTAAGAGATATTAATTATCGAAAATCGTCAAAAAAAAGTATCAAGCATCATCTCGCAGATTTCCGTTTTATCTATCCTATCTTATAGAAAATAGTCCGTAGATTAAGACGCTGCGATCAGATCTTATTTATCTCTTTTAGTTTACGAGATATTCGCGATTGAAATAAATCGTCAATAATTGATAAATTACACTTTTTTACCTCTTATAGTTGCGTTTATGGACTTTTTTTCTTCAGGAAATATATTTATTTTATATTTTTATTTTATAGAGAATTTTCCATAGATTAAGAATCTTTAACCCGTTTCTCTCGATCCTTATTATTTTACGAGATATTTGCAATTGAATTAAATAGAGATAAAAGTATGTAAATAATTATTTACGGGAATCTTGAGTGATGAAAATTTCTGTCGGTAATTTACGACAAAAATTTCCAAATGAGCAACGCGCGTGTGCTTCAAAAAACGTGAAAAATTTAGCATTGAAATTAATGTAAAGTAATAAATTAACCAGTCGGCCGCCCCTCGCAAAAAACGCGTCCGAAACTTTCGCACAATGGAATTGTTGGAGTACTTTCTACGACGCACAATTTTTTGTGTTGGTTTTGAAAAATTACAACGCGCCTACAACGGATTTCAATTAACTGCGCGAGTCAAGCAGGTTCAATGTTTAACTTTCCACCCACTTGCCGAAAATCAGCAGAGAAGTGCCAACACGTTAAAGCTCACATTCAGTTTAATTTAAATTGATTAATTAATACTCGAGCTGCATGTGCGCTTTTTTTTTAAACTTTATTTCATCATTTTTAAAGCAAAAAAATGTAAAAATATAAAAAGAGGAATGATTTGTTGCCGTTTTATCTAAATGAGTTTGATGGTTCCAATCGAACGGTTTGATATGAACCATGAAACGCTGGGTGATGCTCTCCGAGGACGGGAATGGCGTTGATATTTATTGTCAATGACAGGACAGGCGCGCTGGCGACCGAGGCACATATTGCATTTGATTATACGCGCTCGATTTCATCCGCCAAACGCATTACCAGCCGGCCTGTCGTTTATGATCCTGCATTCCACATTTCATAAAAATATTTACACACAGCGCAAATAATTAAATATTAATTTGCTTTCTGATCAAATTTTTTAAAATAAAATATTTATAAAGACAACCCTCTTGCTTTGTCCTGTTAAATAATTGATTTCTATGATTGCATTTTCAGATGGACGGATACCAGGGGTTGAGATTACGATGCCGCCGTCGCATACGGCTCTCAGCGGCGACTTGCACATACAGATCGCCGCCTCCTCGTTCCCGCCACTGCTCCTGCAGCTCTCGCGGTTGGAGGGCGAGACAATTCAAGCATTAACCACTTTTCCCGTCTTGCCCGAAGCGAGGGCCCTTGCACTCAACACCACCATAGTAACAATTCCCTGTGGGTATTTCTCAAAAGGTGGCCAGTACTATGTATTATTCAAGGTGAGCCAAAACCATGGATTCAATGTTCTTCGTGTAAATTTAATTTTCACTCGTCAGAAACAAGGTCAACAAGCACTCAACTTCAACTATGGAAACAATACGGGCACAACTATGTCAACCACTACTTTCAGCAGTGCGGAAGAGGAAGAGGAAGACGTTGGGCGTCATCAAGACGACGAGATAGTGACGCGTGCGTTAGACGTGCGGTGGCCAATGCCGCAGCTCTCGCTCACGCCTGAGTACGTGCAGACATACCCGGAGCGACCGGTGATGGCCATCCTGGAGTTCCCGGAGGTCATCTGCCCGCCAATGGCCGACAGCCCCCCGGCGGCCATTCCGGAGTTTTGGCTGGAACTGCACTACTGCGGACACTCGCTGCTCACCTGTGACGACAACAATAACTATGGTGATAATAGGACCAACGCTAATGTTCAAGTAAGCCCAGAATTATGATCAAAAGAGTTTGCTTAACAATTTCACGCTTTGTAATTTTTTCATGCTCGCGGCGAGATGAGGAAAATTTGCTCATTATGCATACAATTCTCTGCACATTTGATTTTTCCAACTTTTCCGGCCACGGTCCCCAACGGCTTGTTAAAGCTCTTTCAAAGCACGCCCCACTTCCGTTTTATTTTTTGGAGCAAACGAAAATCTGTCGCAAATTAAAACCCAATGAAATCGCACAATCTGCATGAGGAAAATCAATTTGCATTTTCTAATTAATTACTTTAAATCGACGCTCAATCCGAGGCATTCCTGAAAGCCGCACTTTTCTCATTAGAAATGGCCTTGCGGATATCATTGTGCGGCGCGTTCTTTCATATTTTCTTTCCGGGCAAATCATTCCGGGTTTAGTGTGCCGGAATCTTCGATTCTTTGCGTTCCGCGCCGGCGGCTCGCGCGAAATGAGCGAAGAAAATCGACAGATGGAAATTTTTTCCTTCTAATCGGATTATTGGAGTGTGAGTGTATAAGAAAGCTGCAGCGGGAGGTGAAATTCCATGCGAAGCAGGAAGCCGCGCAATTCCAACGCTTAAAGTTCGTTCGGTGTCTGAAAGACAGCGACTAAAATGTTGACGTAAAACTTATTATTAATACTCTCAGTGCGAATCGCGAAATTCCTCGACTCCTAGAACAGACATGAGCAACAAACTTTTCGCCATTCAACATTTCATCTGTGCGAAATTCCTGCATCGCTACCGAACGTTCACAGAGCGCACAAATGACAAATAGAATAATTTCACCGCCAAAGTTTTATGATCCTCTATTCCACGACATATTGAGTTCCGGTGGATTTTATGATCTTTCGCTTTCATACATTTAAAAATTCATTATTAGCATTTCAAGTAATGTTTTTACTTAAAATTAAATTTGTTTTTCTGTTTGTGCAGGTGTTGTACTCGGAACAGGTGCGAGGTTTTCCAGGCCGAAGGGTTTTAACACTGCGCTGCGAGCTGTTCGGACTCGCAGGACACTACTCGCTCGTCCTGCGCCCAACCACGCCGACACCCTCCATACCTCACACGGCTGCGTATGTCAAGGTGAAAAAAGTGCCATTATTCATGCACCGTGTGCAAAACTCTGTATCTGCTTTCAGGCTGATTGGAGTGACCAATTTGTGTTCAACGTGCACGCGCGCAGCATTTTCCCCTGCGAAACGCACACCGGCATCCCGGTCCTCTTCCAATATCCTTCCTGCATATTATCCTCGGGTGATCGAGTGCGGTTGTACGCCCGCCTTCGAGATAACGTCGCCTCGCTTGCACCTCCAACCAGCTTGGAGTATGTGGTCGAACAACGTGTCACCCGTGGTCAGCATAGTCTCTACTTCGATTGTGACCTCTTCAGTGAGCGATTTGTGGAGTACTGCTTTGTTTACGTCAGTCAAGCGATCACAGGCGCCGTGGCTGATGTGCGCATGGATTGTGTACCGACGCTGCCAGTCACAGGTAAGAAACAAATAAAATCGGAATCGATGGCAATAAAATATTTAATATTAGAGAAGGTATAAAATGAAAAGAAGCGATATGAAAGTTAAATATTGCTGGCTGGAAGCAGTGGGAATGTATAAAAGCTGACATATATGATTTTTATTTACATGCAGATTTTTTTATGTGCACGCGTAGTGGGCACGAAGAGAGCAATAGCTCTTGTCTGAGAGGCGGCGGGCCGTCAACGTCGGTTTTTACGCTGTCCTGAAAGGGCGGTGAAAAAATGATGAGCGCGCCGCATGAGAGAAATACCAGGCGCTGTCGGCGCTTTTTGAGAAAAGCGTCACGTTTGTCACTTTTCACTTTTGAAGCTCAAGAAGGTACCGCTGCATTTTTAAGGCGACACTATGTCAGGGAATGCAACAGACAAAGTGATATTTGTAATAAATCACTCAAAATCACGACTCAAAGTTTTTTTTTTTTTTGAAAAGCTGAAAATTGGATAGTCATATTGACAAATAATAGCATCTTTGGAAATGCGCCACAAAATCCTATTCTACTTCTCGTTGTTGAAAGAAAGCAAACCGAAAATTTCATTGTTCAGCGGCAGAAAATAAAACATATTCAACTTCTGCAGAGATTCGCCGAGAGGTTAGCAGCCTGGAGCGCAAAATCTGATTATTCCAAGACATCCAGACCTTTTCCGCGCTCTGCCATTTCGTCATTTTCGTCTTTATCATTCTTTTTTGCGCCCTCGGGTAAAACCACTCGTATATTTTCTGTTACAAGATTGTAGATGTGTTTATTTATACAATGACGTGCGCGTGGCGAATTCTGGAAGTCCTGAAATATGCGCGTTGTCAAACGCAGAAAACGCGTCAATTAATCTTTCTTTTCGCCAGCGTTTTGCTCCCCGGCGCTGTGAAATTTATTTATAAAGTCGCAACGCAAAAAATAAAAATAGAATCAAATAAATTGAGCGCAAGTATTGCTCATTGAATTAAATAAAACGATAAGAATATTTAAAACAGCATCAAACTAGAAGATATCACATTTTATTTTTGCCGTAGTAAATTTAACGTGCGTTCTTTAATAATGCAGATAGCGTATTCCATATTTTATGCACCGGCTGTAAATTTCATTGCATTGACTCGTCGCCGATGTAAATTCAAAAAGAAAGACACCCCCGCACAAAGTATGCAAAAAGAAACTTATGCCGGAAATCATCAACGCAGTCGTTTCTAACTTTCGATAAAAATTTACGATTTACCGCTTTCATCTTGGGGTGACGATTACACCGCATCAACGTGTAAGCACCCTCCGTTTTCTTTTGCAACTTTTTCCCCTTAAACCACACTTTTTTTCTTTTTATGTGTGAATGCGGTGTAAGTGTTTCATTTCATAACTTCTTTTTAGGATTTTCATTCGCGTATCATTTTTTTTCTCTTTTCCATCGTCGCGTGCCTGCAAGTAAACGATAAGCATAAGCGCGCACACGCATTTCGTATTCATTCGAGTTCGAAGCAAGGCGCGGATGATGATGATGATGAAGGGATGCGAGGAAGACAGACGCGGATGCAAGGAATGCGAACGCGCGAGTTTTACGCCTCATTAGGTTTCGCAGGAGCGACGAAAGCTTCCGATATCGGGGGTGTTGCACAACGCCCAGGGTATTATGATGACTTCTAAATGCGACTAACGAACGAATGAACGCCGGGAAAGTATCACATTTCTTTTACAACCATGCAGAAATAAATTGAACGCCATATTAGGTTTTAATCTTATTTTTAATTTGTCTACGTTATACTCACGACTACGTTACTCGTAAAAGAGTTTATTGACCTTGAGATTATATATAATTGTCATCGTGTTTAAGAGCATGCGGACTCGTAAAGTACTTCCAACCCTCGTTGAATTATGACTTGTTTCCTACCCTACGTCTGTTGTGTTGTTTTCCACCCTTGTTTTAATGACGATTAAAAAATTACGCAGGGAAAACTCCACTTTAAGACAAGTCAAGTGTTTTTTTTTCTAATGATATTTGTTGTTTTAGAATCGGAGAGTGGCGGATGGGGTGAATGGAGTCCTTGGACGCCCTGCTCGAGCACCTGCATTGGCGGTACGCGAAACCGTTATCGCTTTTGTGACTCGCCGCCCCCGCGATACGGAGCCAAGTTTTGCGAGGTAATTAGTTGCCCACTCATTCTTCCTATCACCCCAAACTTGCTGATTAATTGTGCAATTATTAAAAGTCATGCAAATGATCATTTATTTTGAGTGGTGGTTGTACCACCGAGCAGATGCTTTCTTCCACAGAGATTTATTACAAGATTAAAAAGAGGCGGCCGAACAAAAGTGATATTTAACATTTTTGACAATTATTATTTATTCTGACATTTGTCTACAATTTTATTCCATTTCATTATCGATTTTTACAATCAAAATGGCACCGAAACGTGTTTCAAAAGTATCTGCAAAGGAACCAGGCAGTAAAGAACTACTGACATCCGTGGACAAAGCTTTTTACGAGCTGGAACTGCAAGCAATCCGCAACAAAATCGAACGTTTGCAAAACTTTAACGCAGAAAAGGAAAAGCAGAATGTCGAGCTGGTTGAATCGAATGCCAAACGTGAGGAAGAACGCGCTGAAAATATTTCCGCTGTGAAGAATATGCTTCTTCAAAAAGAGGAGGATGTCCAGGCATTAACTGATCATTTAGAGGAACTTCGCGCATTGCAAGCTGAAGAACGCATTTTTTATAGTCAACAATTATTCGAAATGGAAGCAGTTGTATCAAAAAAACGTGAAGCTATCGTTGCGGAAATCAAAGAAGTTCAAGGCAAGCTTAATTCATTAGAAGAATTTCGCGTACAGAAAGATGAATTGGTTAAACAATACGAAAAACAAGTTGATGAGATGGAAAAGGCAGAAACAGCCCACAACCGAGAGATTTACCAAATAGAAAAAAAATTTCTTAAATCAAAAGATCATTTAAAGAGAGAAATGATTGAACGTTTGGTTACGCTATCAATGCAATTCCAAGATGTCACTGACACACGTGTTGCAGACACTACACATAGGACAATACGAGAGAATATAGCTATCAATAATGATCTCAACATGTTGGTCGAAACCGAAGTGAATTTAAAGTCTGAAAGCGAGGCATTTATAAATCGTGCAAAGTTCTTCAAACGATCCATGCGAGTTTATGAGGAGACAAAAGTCGAGAGCGCTTTCAAATGGATCACACAAAGAGACATCATTCAGGAAGTAAGTAATAAACATGCTAAGGTTACAGAGGAAGCTAAGAACTACGAAGTAGTCGATGAAGCCTGCGGTTTCTACGAGCAAGAATTGAAGGAGCTGGAACATGCCGCGGAGAAAGAACGCATGGCTGTTCAGATCCTCGAACAGAACTTTCAAAATGTCCGTACTAACAATGAACTCAACGAAACAAGGTATCAAGAAATAAAACACCGAACCAAATCTTTACTACAAACAATTTTGCATATCACGCATAAAATTCGAGAGGAATGGATCACACCTTTTGAATTATTCCGTCAACATGGTTTCCTGGACGTGGAAGATGATCTCACATTACCAGAAAAACAAGCGAATTTAATCAATTTTATTTTGGAAGAAATTGAAAAATTTCCAGTCTGCAAATGCCTGCTCTATCAAAATCATCAATTGTCTCCTGTGCTAATTTCTACCAAGAAGGTGAATTGGGTACCACACCAAAATACGTTGAACCACGATCAGAATATCCTGTTCGGAGACATGTGGGAACACAAGTGACACAAGAAGATGTGCAGGAACACGTTGAACCTGATTCCAATGAAATTGAAGAAGAAGAAATCATTGAAGAGGAAGAGGAGGAAGAGCCTGAATTAGATGAAGAAATGAGTCAGGTGTTGTTCAGTGCTTCACAGAGTGAGATTAGTAGTTGTTCTAGTAGAAACAGTTTAAGGGACTTTACTAAAGTACAAATAGAAGAAGCTGCTGTTGAATGTGAAAGTGAAGAAGAAATCACTCCTGCGTTGAATGAATCACCATCAACAACTACCGAGAGTAGTTATAGTGGTGTATCTTCAGCTTCCAGCTCAACAGATTAAATTATTATGAAGCATTTATAAATAAATTATTAGTAAATTAAATTTGTTTAGATTTTTATTTTTCATTTCCAGGGTCCATCTGTAGAGACTGAAAAATGCGGGACTGGTATAGGATCCAGTTGGGAGTGTTTCTATACAAATGGCATATCAGCCAATGATATCGCCGCTGAAATTCCTGAAGTGCAAGCGGAAGTTGGCCCCTACTGCAGATGTGGTTGCATAGTTCATCTTGGACACGCCAAACCTCGTCGGCTGCTTGCCACTTCATCACAAAGCTGTCCAGGGAGGACGTTTTGGTTAATTCAAGCGGATGATGAGTTTGTCATTCAATTTAAAGTTGAACAATTCCATTTACCTTGTGGTACGCAATGGTTGAAAGTTCGTGATGGTCGTGCATTGTCTTCAACACTATTGATTGACCTGGGTAGTGAACCGGAAGCCACACCATCAATTGTAAACTCTACAGGTCCGAATATTCTGCTGGAGTTTTTTACTGATGAAGTGTCTACGAGTAGTCAATTCTGTGGTGGGGGTTTCCTAGCGCATGCAGAGCAGTTAAGACCAGTTAGAAATATGACTATGGTGGCTCCGGTAGCGCAGGGAATAGGCCTTCCAATTTCGGCACTTAAATTGACAGCTGTTCATATTGCTGCGATTTTCTTCCTTAGTGGACTGTTAATAGCCACGGCATTATTGGGAGCTCAATATGCATTCAGATATAGAAAATATCACATTGCACAGGCTGAAGATCAGGATTCTCTTGCAGATATTTCTGGTAAATTTTAATTATGAAAGAAAGTGGTTAATATGATTGATTTGTTTATTATTTTAGCTTCCAGCGCAAGTTTACCATTGACAGGTGTCCATCGTGCGTCTTCTAATGCAACTTTATTGTCTGAAGTCATCTCCCTGACCCGCCTAAGACCCACCATGAATAAAAACCGTAATAAACATAGTCGCTTACGAGAATCTGTTGATTGTTCAAAGGACTATGAAGAACAGGAAGTCACTTTAGCGTAAGTTTACTTTTCTACTCTTAAACTCATTATCATCTCATCATTCTGTTACATCTAGTCATTATTTTCTTATTATTTTCCTTCCTTCCTAACTATTAGTGAGGAGGAGACCTTGAGCGCCAGTAGCACGATGACTCTTACACATGCCGAGGATTCCAAACAACAGACCACAACATTCAGCGATGTTCCAGACGAAGATACAACGTGTAGTCTACCCAGCTCACCTCAGTCCTATGCAGAAGGTACCCTACGACGCTCATCAACCATCGTCAGTTCTGAAAAGGACCGCAGCACAGAAAAGAATGCTCCTGAAGAAACTTCATGGAAGATGGATGCGGAAGCTTGTAGGAGGAGATTAAGTCACACCAGTACAATCACGCTGACAAATGTGAGCAATACCGGGATTAAAAACAGCACTTTGAGCATCTTGAGCACTCTAAGCAACATGAGCATTGTCACCATGTTCGAGCACAGCAGCGGGACTATGAATGCGACAGGGTTACGACGTTCCAAAAGCTATTCGGTGGTATTATACAATTGGTGGTGTGACCCTTCTTCCAAATTTGAACCAGAATTAAAACCATTTGAACCATTATTAATGTTTACAACCAAAACAAAATTTTAACTTAAACAAGCACTTTTGGAACGTTTAACCTCCACACACTCACCTTCAACTCTTGTAGAATTTTATTCACCATTCTTCCACATGATTCCATCCATAAAATACATTTTACTTAACTAATCATGTTTTAGGGTTCCTACTCGCCCGCAAATAGTATAATCAGCCGTGCGACCATCCGCAGCACAAACCCAAAGGAATCGAAAGAAAAACGCAATCGAGAGAAACTCCTAGCCGGCCCGGGGTCAGATTTTTCTCTGTCTGTCGGAGATGGAGACTTGGAAATGGATTATTACGACTACAACGTTGTCAATGCAGGTGCCGCACCAGGTTCCTACCTAGGTATGGATCCAGCATTCCTTGTTTGGATTCCTCCCTTGGAAGAAGGTGAAATGATCTTAGAAGAAAACGAGACTCAACAGTATGTAGATTCGGGGAGTAATAAAGAGTCACCGGAAGAAGAAGAACTTCTTCCAAAACGCTTGCGGACATTGAGTGACGCTCAAGCAAAGGGAACACCACATTCACCCCTGTTGAATAAAAAATATAAAAAGGTCCATCCGCTGGTCATTGTAGACAATAAGATCTCATGCGAAAGTTTGAATCTACGAGGATCTTCAGAGGATAATGTCAATCATAAAATTGTATCCATACAAATGCATGATTTTTCCACAAAGAGAATAATAGGATCTCCTGTCAAAGTGCACAGGGAGAAAGAAACAGTCATAGAAAAGTTGTCTCCGCCAGGAAAAGATGAAAATCTCGATGAGATACGTTTCGCTGATGAAGAAGATGAAGAAATCGTGGAGATATTCCAAAATAAAGAGAAACAAAGTGTGGATAGTGACTTAAAACGAACTCAGCCAAATAACGCCGAGGAGTGCAATAACTTATCATATCACGACGTGAACGTGCTATCAACCACAGCGAGTTGATTGACGACGCAGTTTCATTGAGGTATTATACGCGGCATTATCTTAATTTAAATGACGAATGTATTAGGTGCTGTCCTGGGTATTATATGGAATGACTGAACGTGGTAACATATAATTGTTTTGCTTGAATGCTAGACTGAAATTTCATTAATTACGTCCGATCGTTTAAGTTTGGATTGCATCTTACGAGCTTTTGATTGTATTGTAATATTATCAACGTATTATTGTTAATAAGGACGTTATCATGAGCTCTCTTAAAGTACTAAGCACTTATATATGAATAATCTATTTACATAAGAGATGGACTTGTATTGTTATTGAGGCGACAGTGAGCAGTGTGTGGAGAGAAAAAACAATCATGTTCTAGTCTAATCTAGTCATTAACTTTTAAGTATACTATATTATTTATTTGACGATAAATGAATGTAAAAATGTACATTATAATTGTGTTATTTTAATAAAATGACTTAATAACATTTTGTCCACCAGTATTTTGAATTTATTAATTTTTATTTATAAATGAAAATAGTTAAGAGTTCAAATATTATTTGCAAGTCTAAATTATTCTCAATTACTTTGTTTCTGATGTTATGTTTGAGATTGAGAAGTCCTTTATAATTTACATATATTTTCTTTGCTGTAAACCTTCAGAAATCGTCTTAAAACAATTATGATGACAAAAATAATAATTAAAAAAAAATATTTACAGAAAACACCTTGTATCTCCTATAATAATGGAGTAAAATAATACTACTCTCTGGTATATTGTAACTCTAAAAACTCTTTATATCTTTTATGTATTATTTCTTTTCCAAACCTTTGGTAAGCACCCTAAAATGCGAATCAAAAGTAACTATTTTTGACAGATTTTCAAAATTTGAATTAAAAACACACCATTTTAAGGCTATTTTAAGACACTTCTAAATGTTTAGAAGATTGAAAAGCTATGTATAATGTAAAGAATTTCTTAAACTACAATATAAAGAAGAAAAACTTGTGGAAAGTTAATTAATTTACCAGATACAGAGTGTTTTCTACAACCAGTTCTATTTTTTTAAGAAATAGTAATTTTTTCTGTTTTTAATATGTTTTGTGGTTGTTTAAGGTGGTGAAAAATGTACATTTCTCAAAGAAAGTAAAACACTATAATTTGACAAAAATATTTATAGTTAACTCCTTAATAACTCTCATGTAAATTGAATACACGAGCCACTTATAGCAAAATACTTCCTTAAAAACTATTATCGTTTAGTTCTACATTTCGTTGAAAGGAATTTGTACAAATATTTCATGGTCATGAACATATTTTTACTGATATGCTCTATTTATGCCAAAGCACAATAACTGCTACAAAATATTTATTTGTTTGCAAAGTAATGAAACACTTAAAATGAATTTAATTAAATGTTATGATACTTGCATGATATACGAGTACTATGTTGCGAATTATACCTTGAGAACAATTGCCGGCCCAAATTGATCCAGCGTCAATTGAAAAATGCATAATGTCCGTTACAAGATCTCATTCTCATTTCATTCGTGTTAGTACAACGCCGACAGTGATGATATAAACACTTTTTGACTGCTCAGCAAGCCAGCATCATTCAAATCATAATAATAATAATAAAATCATGGCTGGAACAGTCACGAAATGTACCAAAGACAATACCCTTGACCATGTCCTTACACAAGTGGGTGATTTTGGCCGTTATCAAATATTTATCTTTACTCTGTTATCATTCGCGGGGATATTACATGCCCTAATGCATTTTGCTTTTGTGTTCACATCAAAAAACCCTGGATATCGGTGAGTTTTCTTATATTTACAAATTAAAATATTAATTTTAAAATATTTATTTATAAAAAATTACGTGATTATTGGATTTACAATTTTATATGTTGAATTTATTTTAAAACAGTTTTATGAAGATGCCCTCTGGGCGAAACATGTTAACTCAACATATAAAATTGTAAATCCAATAATCACGTAAATTTTTATAAATAAATATTTCAAAATATACAATGGATTACGTATTCACAAATGAAAGCAATAAAATATTAATATAATGATTTAATATGGCGTCAGATGTCAAATACCAGAGTGTGATAACTCAACATCAACAACAGATCTAAATGAGTTTCATCCATCGTGGTTGATCAATGCAATACCTTTCACAAATGGCAAACCAGAAAAATGTCAGAGATTTCAATCCAACCGTCATAATATACCTTCAAATGAATATGAACATTGCGACGATGATCATTTCAACAGAGATGTCCTGAATGCTTGTGATGATGGATATGTGTACGACACTGATAAGATATCAATTGTGAATGATGCAAGTATTATTCTATGGAGAAATAAATCTTTTTATGTTTATGTTTATTTATTGTTACAGTTTAATATTCACTGTGATGAAAATATGTGGATGTTAACAATGGTTGGCACTATTAACACAATAGGACAATTTGTGGGTTTGCCTTTGGCCGGAATTGTTTCTGATAAATTCGGAAGGAGAGCCACTTTAGTTTGGGGAATAATACTTGGAGCAATCGCTGGAATAATTCGTGCATTCACTACGAATTATATTATGTTTGTGGTTTTTGAGTTTTTAGATGCTGCATTGAGCGCTGGAACATTTGCCTGCGTTTTTATTCTTGGTAAAACACTTTTCATCTAATCATAAATCAATTTTTCTACTTCCACATTTAAAGCGCTAGTTTTCCACGGTTTTGAGACATAAAAAGTTGTACTTTAATCATGGACGGCCAAAGTCGTGAGTAAAGTACTTTATTCACGGGCTTTAGTCACGCATTTTCCTAAATTTCGAAAATTTAAAATACAAAAGTTTAAATACAAAAATATAAACGTGGAAATAGAGTGGAAGTCGAAAACTTGATACTTAATATATTATAATCAATATATATTTTTTAAATATTTTATTCAGGAGTGGAATTAGTGGGACCATCAAAACGTGTCCTTGCCTGTACGGTCATAGCAAGTTGTTGTGCTGTTGGTGAAGTTGTCATAGCTTTATTAGCATGGTGGATCACATCATGGCGGTGAACTATTTCACACTCAATTGTAAATTTTATTTTATCTTACTCGTATTACTGATTTTAGTAATTTAATCTTGGTATCCTACATACCTGTGCTTCTTCTGATAACGTACTTATGGCTCATCCCTGAATCTGTCCGTTGGTTATTAAGTCAAGGACGTTCTGAAGAAGCCAAAGATGTTTTACGTCGAGTAGCACTTCACAACCGAACAACAATCAGTGAAGACGCCTTGCACAAACTAACAATCTCCGAAGAAAACGCCCCGCGTGATTCTCTGTACAAAATATTCAAATCTGCAACGCTTCTAGGACGTTTCATCAACTGCTGCTTCTGTTGGATCACATGCGCGTTTGTCTTCTATGGTCTCACATTAAATTCGGTGTCCTTGGCGGCTGGCAACAGTTACGTAGACTTTATTTTGACTTCCTTAGTGGAAATTCCTGCTTATATTGCTACATACATGGTTGTGGACAAATATGGCCGACGAATGACTCAATGCTATTCATTTTTGATAACTGGCATCTCGTCGTTGATTTTTATTTTTGCTGATGAGGAGAATTATCATCTACAACTGTTTGTGTATTTATTTGGAAAATTTGGAGCCACTGCAGCATTTACGATCATATATATTATTGCTAGTGAAGTTTTTCCTACACCTATGAGGCATTCGATGATTGGAGCATGTTCTATGATCGGGAGGATTGGATCTGTTATGTCGCCACAGATGCCCATATTAGTAAGAAGTTATTTTTGAAATAATACGCAAAATTTTATGTTTACGAAATGTTTTAGGGCCAGATTTGGCAACCGCTGCCATTGTTACTTTTTGGATGCATGTCTACAGTAGCCGGAGGTTTATCTTTATTTTTTCCTGAGACGTTGAATACGAAACTTCCAGATACAATCGAAGAAGCGGAAAATATTGGGAAGCATAAAGATAAAAATGAACTTTTGTAAAGTTTTATGTATAAATAATTAATTTTAAAATAAATTCAATTACATGTTATCAATTAGGAATTAAATCAAAGTATCAAATTTAAGCTATGGAATTTTTAAATTATCATTAAATTATCATAAAATCCATTTGATTATAATCTAGGGAATGTATGTAAAAGGAAAAAAAAACACTTGAATACCGACAATTATTAATGACGTATCATCGTAATCTCAAGTATTTAACGTAATTAACAAATATTTGATTCCCAAAATTTGATTTTTACTAAATTGTTTATTGTGGCAGACGAATTTTGTAGACTGAAAAATTAGCTCTCAAGTTTCCATTCGCCGCGTCACGCCAGATTACCAGCGACAAAAGACACGATTTAAATGCCAACCAACAGCCGCGCCGCTCCTGATTAAATAACTAGCGACAATTGACATGTCCAGAGCACGTACTGGACCCACGAGCGAGAGTCATGACGACACATAATAACGAACGTAAATAAATAATTATACGCCGAGTTGTGCTTGCGCCTGATTGTGATTTCACAGACGTGTGCGCTCCTAAGGTATCATTATTATTATCCCGGCGTGCTTCACGGTCATGAACGACAGATTCTTACATTACATATTCCGAAAAACACGACATTTATTAACTTAAATGTCTAAAAACGAATTTTTTAAAAGAATTTAGTTTTGCACTTATGACATGATTTATGTTGATAATAAATTATTGCTCGGTATTGCACTTTGAGTACCTGCATGGGTTTGCATAATGTATTTACAAAAAGTTTCGAAATAAAAGAAAAACAATTTTTTTATTATATTTATTATTTATGGTTATAGTTAAGGTGTGAAATAAATTTTTAAAATTGAATTTGCTTTAAAATTTTTGCAAATAATGCAAAAAATGTAATACTCGCAATTATAATGAGATTTATAGATAAATAATACATAAAAAAGATAATAATTGGTATGATCTAACTTGAACTTGATTTAAAAACAATTAACGATAACAAAATTCGTTGTTCTTGTCCAGAATCAACGCTGATGCGTTTATAATTTTATAATTGCACTATTTGTCTCGTACGTCGACGCAAATCCATTTATTTGTTTTTAATTTTATTTTATTTATATTAAACAAAAACATTTCCAGTTGTTTTTTCCTTATCCATCAACATTCCGCAACTCTTTTAACACATTCCAACAAAAATTAGAATATCTATCGCAAATGGAATACTATTGGCGTTTAAAAATTAGCGTGATAACGCGGAATGCCGTGATGACATGATACGAAGCATGGAATGATGTGAACGAGATTGTTGTCGTCGTACTATTGTCATTTTATTGAAGCGCAAACAGCTAATATGTAATTTGCACCAAACCAGCTGGAAATAATTCGCTTAGCATGTTCGAATCTTCGTCTTAATTGCGATCGGTATTTTTATTATACACCGGAAAATGACATTGAAGAAAATAAATATAGTTATTTATAGTCATCACATTTTTCATAATATAACAATTATTCGCATTTTGTGTTTTAATATTTATTGTGAAACAATAAACCTTACGATTTTGCACCGCGCGCGTTGTTCACTGATAAGCAGCGTGTTACAACGCGCCATGACAACTGACATGGATAAATCCAACCGCAGGATAAACGTAACAAGGTAACCGTCGGTGAAATACACGCAAAACGCAGAAAAAAAATCTTCACTGCAAACGTCGAAATGTGAAATGTTATTTGTTGTGTCTGGTAAGTTGTGTGCGCTAATCAAAGTCGTTCGCATCTTCACATCGGAACATGACAATTTGTCAATTTGTTTATTACGCATGAGCAGCAATCATATCCAGTTCTCTTTACAAGTCCTCCTCGGGTACGACACGCGCATGAAGATTAAAGATTAACGCTGTCATTAACATGTGTCGGTCGTTGTGTTCGTTGTCAGCGCGCGTTCGAGGGTCATTCGAAAAAATGCGCACACTAATTTTAATTTGGCGACTTATGGTCAAGCGTTGACTTAATATTCATGTCCAGCTCATGTTCACTTTACCCTTCAATGATGTCAAGGAAAATTACTACGAAATGCAAATCATGAGAGGATGTATGGAAATATACGTTAGTTTTGGCGTTTTTTTGCATTGTGCATGCGAAAGATAAGAAAAACTGCGATAAAACAAACAAAAAAACGCAAAAAATTTTAAACATAGTTTTACTTATTTTATTTCTTTTATAAAAGTAATATTTAATATTTATTTATCTAATCAAGGTAAAACTCAAGTTTTTATGTCAGTATATTTTATAAATCAATTGTAAAGAGGTCAGTACCCAAACAAATTGCGTCTATAATAAAAACATTCTCAGATATTAAAAATTATTTTTTGTTTTGTAATTTTTCTCCCTGCATCTTAAATAAATAAATAGTTGATAGTAAATACTACTGATGGCTGGTAGCAGGTGCGGCGCTGGTATAATACGCCGCGAAAGATAACAATCGCGTTAGTGAAGCGGCGGCAACGGCGACGTTCAGACCTCCTGCTGGACTGGGTCCTGTGACATGAAAAAAACCATAAATCGGCATTAATCGTATTTAAAAAAAATAATGGCCGGTGCAGTGTCCAAAACAAGCAAAGATAACACGCTGGATTATGTCCTCGCACAATTGGGCGACTTTGGTCGCTATCAGGTGCTCATCTTCGTCCTGTTTGCCTTCGCAGTCATTACGCATTCGATGATGCACATCGCTTTTGTTTTCACTTCGAAAAATCCAGGCTATCGGTAAGTTTTTACAACATGTAAACGTGTAATATAAACTCAGACAGTGGATAAACATATAAAATTTATAAATATGTAAATGCAATTAATTTTTTATTATAATTTTTATTTATTATTATAATTACTAGATGTAATATTCCACAATGTGAAAATTCGACAACTGAATCATTGAATGAATTTAATCCGGAATGGTTAACAAATGCAGTGCCTTACACGAATGAAAAACCAGCGGTTTGTCTGCGATTCCAGCCTGTAAACGAAAGTGTGAATCAAGAAGGACATTGTGAGTCTGGTGACTTCAATAGAGATGTCCTGTATGCTTGTGAGGATGGATACGTGTATGACACTGACAAGATTTCCATTGTGAACGATGTAAGTTCAGATTACGCTTGGGATTAGGTCAATGTAACAAACTATAAGTGATTTACAGATATCAATGTCAAATATTTGCAAAGAACCTTCATAAAATGTTATCTTGAACTATTTTTTAATACTTAAACTCATCTGATTGATTAAAAAATTGATTTGTTTTCAGTTTGATATTCATTGTGATGAAAACACGTGGAAATTGACGATTGTAGGCACTATTAATAATATTGGACAATTTGTGGGATTACCATTAGCTGGACTTGTCTCTGATAGGTAAAAATCATTTTTTTAATTGTTTTAATTGATTTTTATCTTAAATTTTAATTTTTAGATTCGGACGTAGAGCGACTTTAGTCTGGGGAATGGTTTTAGGAGGTCTATCGGGCATTATCCGATCATTCTCAACAAATTACATCATGTTTGTAATTTTCGAATTTTTCGATGCTGCATTCAGCGCCGGCACGTACGCATGCGGATTCATTTTAGGTAAATCAATGTAATTAAACCATGAACTCACAGTAACTGCTTACATCTGGTTCGTTAACAAAATTATCGCATAAAAAACAACTCAAAATTCCTTCCGTGAAATTATCGTCGGTAATCACTGTCAATTTATTTTGTTTTGTTTTTCTTTCAGGTGTTGAGCTCGTAGGTCCATCTAAACGTGTCTTGAGTGGAACAATTATTTCAAGTTGTTATGCTGTTGGAGAAGTGGCCATAGCTTTATTAGCGTGGTGGATCACATCATGGAGGTATGATAAACACAAAATAATTAAATTTTTAAGTTAAAAAAATTAAAAAATCAATTTTCCAGGACATTAATATTGGCATCATACATTCCTGCGTTGTTCCTGATAACGTATTTATGGCTTACCCCGGAATCTGTGCGTTGGTTACTGAGTCAAGGACGTTATGATGAAGCCAAAGCAGTTCTACGTCGTGTGGCATCCGTAAACAAAACAACAATAAGCGAAGACGCCTTGGATAAGCTTACCCTGGCTGAGGAAACCGCCCAGCGTGATCCACTCTCAAAACTATTCAAATCTCCATCGCTGCTGTTGCGTTTCATCAATTGTTGCTTCTGTTGGATCACATGCGCGTTCCTATTCTACGGACTCACCTTAAATTCGGTGTCCTTGGCAGCTGGCAACAGTTACATCGACTTTATATTGACTTCCTTAGTGGAAATTCCTGCCTATATTGCCACATGCGTGATTGTTGACAGATTGGGCCGACGATTGACCCAATGCTATTCATTTTTAATCACAGGCATCTCATCGTTGATATTCATCTTTGCTGATGACAAAAATTATTATCTACAACTGTTTGTGTATTTATTTGGTAAATTCGGAGCTACTGCAGCGTTCACGATCATATATATCATCACCAGTGAAGTTTTCCCAACACCAATGAGACATTCCATGATGGGAGTTTGTTCTATGATAGGAAGGATTGGTTCTATGGTATCACCACAAATGCCTTTATTGGTAAGCATAAATTTTTCATAAAACTCCCAAAAATTGAAATATTTAAACCTTTCAGGGCCAAATTTGGAAGCCATTACCACTGTTATTGTTCGGTGTGTTGTCTACAATAGCCGGATTCCTGTCACTTTTGTTCCCTGAAACTTTGAATACAAAACTGCCTGATACCATATACGAAGCAGAAAATATTGGCAAACAAAAGAAGGACCCCGAGCAACAATGACAGATTCCTGTAATAATTCATAAACCTAGGTAATAATGGCCAAGTTACTGTGATTTTAAAATAATATTACCTATAAGGAAGATAACACGTAAGCTAGACACCGAAAATAAACTATATCTATGCATAAATAAATATTTATTTAAATTGTTATAACATCTTGTACATACAAACATACATAAATACGATATACACATTTATTATTGTAATAATGGTTAATATGGCAATAATCTATTCAAACCAAATGTTAAACTCGTACTCATACTTTTATTACACGTACGGTTCAGACCAGTACTTAATCGTACTTCCATGTTTTGTATTAGATCTATACTTTACGTCCCTGGGCTTTAAAATGCTTTTGTGATTACTGAGCATGCGCGCAGGTGTCAGGATACTTTTCGAACTCAGTCCTGTACACTCCAGGAAATGTTCGTAAGTTGGTTCACCCATTTTCCTCCGATTGATTCCATGATTCTCATTTTCGTTGTTTTCCTTCTCTGACTTTCTTTCATTCTCGTTCTCGATGCATTGATTCAGAATTTCTATAGTTTGCGTATTCAACTTTGGAAAGTCCATACTGGAAGGACTTGAGTTATGATCAGAATGATTTGACTCCAGTGAATGTTTCATGTTCTCCTCCTCGTGGTTTAACTCATCGTATTCGTCCATATCGCACTCGTCCAGCTTAAACTCCTCGAAATTTTGACTCAGATCAAACTCAAAACTCGGGACCATCTCGGGACTCTTGTCCTGCGCGTGCATTTCGTGCCTTTCTAAATTTTGCAGATTCTCAAAACTAGAAAACAACTTCTTATTCAGTTTACCACGTGGTGGGGACTTAGTAGGAGACATTTCAGCAAGGAGTTGTTGATTGTTAAACGTGGTGATTAAACTAGACACAGAGGAACCAATCAAAATGGGTCTTCTGGAATCCACCTTCGGACTTATTTTGTGTTTAAAAATTTGGGAATTGATTTTGATGTAATTGTCATGGCTGATCATACGCTCATCCTTTTTGGGAGATTGTAAAGGATTCACATCCTCTTCAGGTATCAGTATTTCTGAGACCTGTGGAAGTTTCGGAATCTCCGGTTCGTGTTTCTGAGGTGTTGGTGTCACTTCCACTTTCTCAATCTTTTCAAACTTTGGAGGTTTAGATTTCGTCGGAGATGTTTTCGCCATCTGGATTGTAACCTTTTCTACAGCTTTAGACGCAACAATAAGATCATCTTTATCTAAATCATAATGTGATTGTACGGGAGGTGTTAGAATTTTCGGAGAATGCAGTATTACACTATCCGGATCATGTGGGACATGGGTCACATTAATCTCTGCAACCACATTCAATTTCTTCGCTGTTGGAGCTACTTGCCCCATTTGGGGCAGGTTCAGTTCAGATATAGAACAATAATCCGGTTCGGAATCAATACTTGGTGCCGAAAGTTTCGTGGGACTCTGAATTTTGTATTTGGACAGTAAATTGGCAGGTTTCGGAGGAAGTGCTGGTGGTGTCCTCATGATTTTACTCTTCCGAATGATACCATCATCAACCAGACTCTTCACGCTGTTCGTACCGTTTAGACTAGACGTATCCATATCAACATAATAGTGACTTTCATCCTGGGGTGATTTTAGAATCAAAGATTTCTCGCTGCTTTTGCTCAGGATCTGCTCGTAATCGTTACTGTAGATACTCTGTGGAGTTTCGTAGAAGTTGGTCTTCTGAATAGGCGTCTCATAATAATCAGCCATTTTATGACTGATGTTTACGGCGTTCAATTGTTGACAAGTGTTGGCATCCTTATAAGGCGAAGGCGGAGGTTGGACAAGGTTTTCTTTGAGGTCCTCTTCATCACTAAACTTGACACGTTTCTGTGACTTACGTTCTAAAGTCGGCGTTTTCGGTGGAGAATTGATATTATCCTGGATATTCTGTAGGAGAATCTGATTCATACACTCAAGGAAATTTGGGTTACCACGGCGGATGTCATCATCTTCAGGATCACTCGCAGATGCATACCAGTTATTGGTTTCATTGCTTTCATCTTCAAACACGTTTATGGTCTCATTGATTTTACTCTGTTGTTGAACGTTTTTATCCTCTTCAGCCTCTTCGGATTCAATTTCTTTCACCTCCTCATCATCATTCACTAGAGTACGTTCATTGGGATCCTCTTCAGGAGAGTCTCTGTCATTGATCAGTTGATCGTGTTTGTCTAAATTATCTTCGGTCAAGGTCATGTTCGTCTGGAAGATAGACTCGATGCGATTGGATACTTCAGAAATCTGAGAATGGACTGATGATTCCACTGGACCTTGGGTATCAATGTGTTCGTAATCATTACTGGTGTTATCCGAAGAAGGACTTATCTGTTCATTCCTCATTTTAAGCACTTCGTAATAATCTCCGATGGATTTTCTATGTCCCACACGTTTTCCTCGCCTGGGACCATCTTTAGATTTGTTTTTCTGAAACTTCTGCTCTTTGATTCCAGTAGGATCTTTGTCCTCGAGTGATTTGGGTGAAGATCCATCCTTGGAATCATTGGAAATCGTAGCATAGGTCTCAGAACTGCTATCTAGACTTTCTACGTTTGATATGTTAGAATCCTGATAGTCTGTTACTACGTATTCGGAACTACTGCCCAACGACTCCAACTTTTGCCCATAATACGTGCAATGTTTACAATAAGTACTGGAAACATTATTGGACAAATTATGAATGTGTTCCCTTTGTTTAGTAATGATTTTATCTTTCTCAGCAAGTTGATGACTGATATACTTCTGTTCTTGCTTCAAACGTGCTTCGAAGATTAACAGCGCCCTAAGCACCTTCGCAAGTTGATCCTCCCTCAAAAGTTTCTCGGATTGATACTGGGCCTCTTTCTCCTGCAATCTCCGAGTGTATTCTGCGACCAATTGTCTACATCGACGCGTTTGCAAACTCAGCGCACGCTGGACAATCTCCAGCTCGCTGCGCACGGACGAAATCTCCGACTCGGACGAGGAGACCTAAAAATCAGAAACAAAAATTTATAGTTATGCTAATTACGTGCGGCGAGAATGTAACGAATCGAAAGTATTCACCGATCCCAGCCGGGAAGCGGCGAATAAGAGCGCTGACCGCATTCCGACCGAAGGCAGAAGCAACTCAACGAGTGTAAAAAGAAAATAAGTTTGGTGAATTGTGGCCCGAAATCGTTTTCACTCGCGTTTATTTTTTGTCTTGTGATATTATATACATCGATGTGATAAATGTGTCACCATTTTTTACAGACAAGCATTACTTAATTCCAATTATTGACTGACAATAAACTCATTAAAAACAAGTTTATGCGCGATGCGGAGATAAAACTCGTAGTGTGGTTCGTGTTTGTTCCAAGCTTGATTAACGGCATTTTAAGACGCTTTGACGTTTGAAGAGTGGTCTATCTGGTCTAGTGGCAAGAAAGTAAAACGTGAGCGTAAGCGAGAAGCAGGAAAGTAAGCAACAGGAAGAGGTGAAACTATGTGCGCATCAAGCGAGCTGAATAGAATCGAGATATGCAAGGAATGCCGTCCTGTATTAATCAGCTGCATTGTTTCCTCTTGATTTTATTCTAGCAGGAAAGATTTTAGGGAAAGAATTAAATTCGACGCGATTTTGCATGATTTGGAGATGATATGATCGTGCCAAATGCCGAATAATGATCGCCGGCCGAAAACCCACAGACCTACTTTGACTTCTTCGGTTGCGATCCACGAGAAAAAGAAATCATGCTTGACTGACCGAAATGCTCCGCCAAACAACGCCGGCAAAGGTTAACGCAAAACATTGTAATTTTATTTGTAACACGATGGCAAATCAAGCGTGTCAAGTTCAGTGCTCATCTTTTATTTAACATTTGCTTTTGTGAGTAAAACTGTTCGTGTCAAGGATTAAGAAGCAAAAAAAAAATATTTTGAATTTATTTTTGCGATTTAGTTCAAATTTTTATTTAAAAAACAAACTTGAACCAAATAAAGTTTAACGTGTCATTTTCTTGTCTTGTATTTGGCCTTTAAATTGAGACCTTATATAACTTGAAACACCTTTTGGAGTTACTTGTTGTGTGTAACCCAAATTTGAAATTCTCAATTGTGTAGACATATGACAATGATTCCATTTCGTATCATAGCGTAAAGTTCAATTCTATTCAAATATAAGAACTAAACAAACACTAATAAAGTTTAAGCCAAACATTTGAATCATTTTCAAAGCATGATATTTCTCTCTTCGTCGCATTCTGGTCGAAGGAACATTAGCACACGTTAAGTCATAGCGGTCATAGATATTCGTGTAATACGGCTTAAGACTTAAGTATTAAGTAGACTTAGGTGAGGCTGAGCGAGAAAGAAAAGCGCAATCGCAATAAATAATGCTGCGCGCCAACACACGTTTTCGTGAGCGGTTTATGTCTCTCGGCGCGCCGAGACAAGAAGTAAAAATTACGAATAATATTTATGTCAGTGGACCACCATTCGTCTAACTGCAACGCGCTCTTTGTTTCTGGCAAACAAAACCAAACTATGACCGACGCCAGCATATACTCATACAGTACAAGGATGTATTACTTATTTCCTGCTTTATAGTTGATGATATTTATTACAGTCGCGCTTCGAACGCGCCTTTTGATGATAACAGTGTTATCGGCGACATTCCCAGTAACTTATGTACTGAAACAATGTAAATTTATGCAAATTATGGACGAAGTGGTTGGAGTTATGACGACCATAATGCTGGTAGGCTTACGGCGCAAGAAATTCTGATAACAGGTGATAAGCACGCGAAGTGTACAAGTTGAAAGCAACGACCGATATGGAAACCATTTTTTCGCTCACCTGGACAAATTTCAAAGTGTATGTAACTTAAAATTCAGCGATTTTAAATATTTTTTCGCTTATCTTATCGAAATTTTTTCGTAGAATAAGAATCTTCAATACGTTCCTCTCTATCGCTTTTAGTTTACGAAATATTCGCAATTGAAATCATACTTTTTCGCACGTATAGTCACGTTTTTAGACCTTTTACCCAACGAAATTTTATTATTATTATTTCTTATCTGATGGAGAATTTTCCAATCATTTTTATTCAACAAAAAAAATGTACTTTTTAGGATTTTTAGTCAAGTTTTTGAACATTTTACCCCACGATTATAATTATTTTTAGTTTATATCTTATAGAGAATTTTCCAATCTTTCATATTCTTCAATCCGTTCCCCTCTATCTCTTTTAGTTTACGAGATATTCGCAATTGAAAAAACGAGGAAAATAAAAACTTGAACTTTTTAGCACTTTTAGTCACGTTTTTGAACCTTTAACCCCACAAAATATAACTATTTTAAATTCTCATCAAATAGAGGATTTTTCAACCATTTATAATCTTCAATCCGTTGGCCGCTATCGCTTTTAATTTAGAAGATATTCGCTACCGAAATTTCGATCGCATAAACTACCAACAATACTATACTTTAAGTACACAAACATGTATTATACTTTAAATAACACCAAATATCGGTTTTTCCGCCTCACTTTGCACGTTGTCGTAATAAATAAACTAGACATTGAATAACAATACCATCGAAATCATTGTAACATCTTTGTAATAGCGTTAAATTTGATTTTAATGGCACTCTGTCAACACGTCAATGATCAACGAGGCTCAACGGTTTCGAAACGGTTCATTCCACGTTCAATTGTAAATGACCGCCGTAGAAAAAGCGTCAAACACAAAACGCGTCTTTACAGCGTCTAGTCTAACAACGTGCTAATTGAAATCAGACGGCGGTAATAAAGTTAGAACATGTTTCAAGGCAAAGCGCAAATGAATCGCAAGGTTAATAAACTTGTGATTCAATCATTAATCTAATTTAGCACGCCTTCAGCGAAAAATTCAATCGGGTGAATAGTAAATTCAAATCAAATCGTTACACGTTGATATGACGATTTGGGATAGAAGATACCTGTGAGTAAAGTTTGGGATGAAAAAAAATTTTTTTTCTTTTACCTGTCGGTAAGATCTAACAAAAAGAAGAATTTCTTTGGTTCAGGTGTAATTATGCTCAAAAATATCCTCTTTACGCCTACTTATTGTAAACCTTTTTAGAAAACCGTAAAATTTACGAATGAGAACAAAATCAAAGCGAATTCGGTCGTTTTGTGACAATTTTATAGAAATTCCATGCATAAACCAGCTATGCAAATATGTAAATTGACGGAATGTGCTTCCTAGAGTTCGCAGATGATTTGTGAAGTAGTTCACCTACGCGAATTGGCTAATGACGATCAAATTAGCAACAAAAACAACAAATCTGAAGGCGTAAGACGAGTAAATTACTTCGAAAACCAGTTTTATCATCTGTGAAAAGAAAATATAAAACCTTACATCACATAAATTGATTAACGGTTAATTTTAAAATTTATTCAAGTTTCCACGGTTGAAAAATACAGAGATTTTGTTTGAACAGCTGTCATACGAGCTAAAATCTGTGAGTAAACAAATAAACTAGATCACTAGTAACAAGATACAATTTCAGCGGATATATACTTACAAACAAAGTTAATTCAACAAAATAACTGTCATATTTCCTTTAAAAACGCTAAAATATGCGTCGAAATTAAATTAAATGGATATTTCTTAAATTAGACCACTTTAGCAGGTATACATTTAAAATAAACAAACATGAATCACTTTGGGAATTGTTTAATGTTCAATGCGAGCGATTAAAATTCACGCAACGTGTTCCTAAACGTTTTATATCATTGATCATTGTTCGCGTGCTTTATGTAACGCGCATACTAATAGCACACTTCAACTGTGAGAAATCGAATGAAACTTAAACGGCTATTATTCACATGCGAGAATTAAGAATATGTGTTTTAGTAGGTAGCATTTATGCTATTATATTTATATTTTTATTATATATATATTATTTATTATTTATTATATATATTATTTATATATTTATAATATTTATTTACTGCGTTTTTATTTGAAAACTAATTTTTTGTAACTTTCTTCTTTCACTTCGGTATTTTCACACTTTGGGCGCAATCATCATCATCAACACTCTCATTACTCATCTTTCATGCCTCGCACTCCCGTCCTTGATGTCATTAAAGTTTGTTTAAACAAAGTGTACGAACCAAGCGCGAATAATCGGCAACGCTTTCTTCTAACGAGCGCACTAACAAAACGCGAGTACTCGTATACCTACTCGAAGAAAGTAATGAAAATGATGCTTAACTCGCTTGAAATTCGGAAAAAACGCGAAAGTTCAGCGTGATTATGCAGGCAAAACGTGATTTTGTTTTCACTTTCAACTCATTACCCTTTTATTTTAATCAGATAGAAAAATATAACAAATATAACAACACACAACATTATAGATTGGGTAATTTTCGATTTCATCAATCGGCATTGAGCGCCTTCGAACAATAAATGACTCATTTCTTTCAATGCTTTGAAATGATTTACATACGAGTACAAGTACGAGCAAAACACGTTTGAAGTTTGAAGTTTGAAGTATTACCTTCGAAACTTTCAATTATCTAAAAATAGTACACTAGATTCTTTTTATAAATAGGCTGGAGATGTTTTTGAATAATTGCTCATCTGTTGAAGAAATCTCGCAATCGGTGCACTTAAAAACGCATAAACTTTATCTTGAGTTGCAAGCAAGCCTGGGTGCACACTGCATACCAAGATAATTACTGTGGTATTATGACAAAACACTACAGAAAGCGCACGACAGGCAACGTTAAAAGTATGAATTAAGTCACAGGAGGAAAGAAATTAATTGATAAAATCTTCTTCACTTTAATAACGCATAAATTCCTTTCAGTTCTAAAGCAATGAATTTATTTTCTTGCTTTTTGCGGTTTTTGCGCAGTTTTTTGTTCTAAATTCGCAAAAAAAAAAACAAAATAAATGACAGAGCAATGTTGTTTTATGATTACAAGATTGATAACAGTACTCATCGTGGAAAATTTCACACATTCCGTCCGCCAGGAGATAAGATAACTTTGATTCTACAAATTAATCATAATGTAGTGTGGTAAACTGAAGGTTTTATTGATTTTTTGTCTGATGTTGTTATTTAACGGTCGTTTTTTTCTCACTTTATGCTTGAATTACCATCGACATTATTATACCGGATGGTTTGAAACGTTAGAGCCCTTTGTCGACGGTTTCTTGGCCGTTTATATGTGTACTTTGAGGGCTGCACCCGACCCCTCATGTTTCACCACGCACAAAGAAACGCCCCACACAATAGCAAAAAGAAAAACCCAAAATATTTTAAAGAGTGGCAATTTTATTATAATGGAGGTAGAAATTGTATAGAATAGAGAAGAATGTTTCGTCAAAGATAAATTTTATTTACTTTTAAGCAAAACGTCAATAATCTTATCAATAAACGACAATATTTGATTTCAACGTGCATAACATGTTATCAAATATCCATGGTGTCAAGTTATTCCACTAACCTTATAAAATAATATCTAAAATTCTAAGAATTTGATTGTTTTACTTACTTTATCAGTCAAAAAGTCCGGATCCGTGTACAAAGTCAGCGTCGACTTTCTTCCTTCGCTCGAGAGGCTGCTGGTGCTTAAGGTATTGTACTTCATGGTCGGGCCGGTGACCAATGGACAACAACCTTTCTTCGCGTGCTCCCAGACCGTGTTTACTCCAAAAATCACACGAAAATCACACTGAATTTACACGCGGTTCAAAAATCCAAGCGTAGTCGCGTTTTCCAAGCATTTGAAACGATTTGCTGTGGATAAGTTACGATAAAAGTTGATTAAGCAACTTCCACAACCGAGTCAAGTCGCAACTGCGCGTACACTGAGCGTTTGAGTAAACTGAGCGGCTGGTCGAAGCTCTGACGCCGCGCGCCGGAGTGGTTGGAAGTTGGAATCAGTTGGAAGTGAGTTGGAATTCCACACCACACACGACTCGAACGGTTTCTCATGGCGCTCTCTTCTTCGCGTCGAAGCTGAGGAACAGGCGGTTTGGCGAAGAGGGGACACCGGTGACCCTTTATCGCGCGCGAAAGAAGTTCGGCGTGTTATTATGTTATTACACGAAATATTCAAATAGGAAAGAAATGCGAAACATTTCATTACTTCCTATAATACTAATAAATTTGTATTATTGCAAGTCAAGGTTGAATAAAGTTGTATATTAGCAGTATTTCCGTTATTTCCAAAAAATTATTTATTGTGGACTACTTTACGACTACAAAATTGATAGGTATTTATTTTTTGCATATTAACTACGTTAACAATGCGAATAATTTCAATTTAAAAAATATGTGTATTGTCATGCGTTTTGCAGCATTTTAAAAACTATTTCCACGAGCAAGGAAAACACGTGATACATTAGGCGATAATTAAAAGAAGAGTTAAAAATACGTATGACTGATGTTTATGTTCAAAGCTGAGTTTTTAGTCTGGAACGTATTGAAATAATTAATTCATGACGTGGTGAAGATCGCTCATCAATCGATAAATCTATTTTTAACTTGCGGTTTGTTGTTGTAAGAAAACTTTAAGATTGTTTAATGTTACGACATTCAATACCTTTGATTCGTCACTCATACAAACTTGATTACATTCTTATTTCGTCATTTCACACCTCATCGAATGATTCTTGTTGTTGTCATTAATGAATGCTGACTTATTGCGTCATTATTCAAATGTTTAATATCATTTTTCATTTGCTAACTGTACAATTACAATATATGTACATCTTTTAATTTTGATTTTTATTTTAATGAAATTTAACGAGGCAAGTTGAGAATACTAATTTGTTTTTATTTGTTTATTTGCATTTTTGTTTGAGCTGTTTTGTTGTCGGGCCCGCATGCAATTTGCGCACATTGCTCGCCACGAACGCGTGCCGTGCCCACACATTGCACACATGTCCTTTTTGGCCAATCGCGCTGACAAACGTTCGAGTTTTTGTTGTTTTGCGGGTGCGTTTCGCTCGCTTTTTGTTCACTTTCAAAGCGGGCGGAATGCGAAGCACGTGCCTGCACGGCTCGTATTTAACAACAAAACACAACGAAATTGAAAAGTACGAAAACAGCTGTCGGTTCATCGAAAACTTTACATGATTTCTGTTCATTTTAATATTTCATTACGAAGCAATTAGAATTTTGTTTAATTTGCAAAAGAATAAATTACATAATTTTAATTTACTTAGATGTAAAAATAGAACACAAAAACACGAAAATTCATTAGTTGCAAGCGTGAATAATTGAAAATTGTTAAAAATTGCACGAAAGGAAACTATTCGCATTATTCGTGTTGAAATTGATTGCACGAACAAACAATTGTTATGCGATTAAAAATTCAAATATGTGTTAGAAATAACTTATTACCACATCAAAGCACGATTTAAAAACGAATTGTTTCGTGATGTGTCGATGTTATTTTTACAAAATAACGTGATGAAAACAGGAAACGAAAGGCGTAAATAGAGTATTGTTTTACGGAACAAATTTTAACACAAATTCAAATACTTTTGGTTTGCATTCTCAAATTATTAATATTTTAAAGTATTAAAAAATATACATAACCTCAACAATAGGCTAATGTAGTAATAAATATATGTAAAACCATTTTATTCAAGCAAAAATACAACTTATTTGACTGTTGCAGTGAAAGTATAACGTGCATAGCATGGGGAATGTTCATATCTTATTGTATGCACATTCAATAACAAAACAAGATAACACAAATCAATTTTGGTTCAAAACCACCAACTAGCGTAACCTAGTGTTCATTATATGAAATATTTATGAAAACAAGCCTTCACACATGTTCCAAGGTTACTCTTTCATTAAGTTCACGTACATATAACAAAACGGCGTCCGAAACGTACAATAAAATGGCTCGTGGTAAAACTTAATATATTACCTAAAAAACACATATTAATGTTAAAATTTCAGACCGGCCTACAACACGGAAACAAGGAGACGACACCGATGAAGAATATTCAGTGGAAAAGATTCTCGACAAGCGTTTTCACAATGGCAAAGTGGAATACTTGCTGAAATGGAAAGGATACTCGAAGTATGCTTAAAATGATACAGTTTGTATGTAACTAGTTCAAGTCTTGTTTCACATTCTAGTGAAGACAACACATGGGAACCTGAAGGTAATCTAGACTGTCCAGAATTAATCCAAGCCTTTGAGGATTCAGTAAAACAACCACAAGTTGAATTGACAACTGGAGCAACCACAACCAGTGAGAAAGAAAAGCCTGTTTTAGAGGATAACCGACCAAGAGGATTTAAAAGAGGCTTGGAAGTTGATAGAATTATTGGGGCTACAGATGCATGCGGTGAACTTATGTTTTTATTAATGTTCAAAGACTGCCAGGAAGCTGATTTGATTCCAGCTACACTAGCAAATCAAAAGTGTCCTGAAGCAGTTATTAAGTATTATGAAAGGAAAAAGATCTGGCAGCCACAGGCTCTTAAACGTACAGAATAATATTAACTTAGAATAAGATAAAAGTATGAATAAAGTCTTTTTTAATTATTTTGAGCCATTTGTTTGAGTTCCCTTCGCAGAATCTTCCCTGCTGTACTTTTAGGTATTGAGGAGACAAATACTACTCCTCCATGTAAACGTTTCGCCATTGAAACATGTTTTGCCACCCATTCCTGAACAGATTCCGGTGTTAATCCGCTCCCTTCTGATTTCACAACAAAAGCACGCGCTAATTCACCAGCGCGTTCGTCTGGTATTCCAACAACAGCCGCATCTTTGATTTCTTCATGCGTCATTAAGACATCCTCTATTTCCGCGGGTGGCACTTGAAAACCTTTGTATTTGATCAATTCCTTGAGTCTATCCACAATAAAAATAAATCCTTTATCATCATAATAAGCAATATCTCCAGTTCGAAGAAAACCATCTCCATCAAACGCTTCTTTGGTAGCTTGTTCATTATGAAGATAACCAGTCATGAGACAAGGTGATTTCATACATAATTCACCTGTTTGTCCAGGACCTAAAGACTGTCCTGTGCATAAATCCCTAACAATTGCTTCTACATTAACAAGCAATGCTCCTGCACTTCCTGGTGGGCAGCCATCACGTGGACTTAAACTAATCGCACAGGCTTCAGTCATTCCATAGGCTTGTCGAATTGGTACGCCGAGTTTACGCTCCAGGGCGACTTGTCCTTCGGGACCTAGAGGAGCTGCTCCACAAATCACATCTTTAATGCTTGATGAATCAAACTCAACTTGTGCCTTTGCCAAAAACAACGCTAATGGTGGTACTATGAACAACTTTGTCACTTTGTGTTGTTCTATTGCTTTTATATACGCATCCGGTTTGAATTTACGCATTACTATCACTTTTGCTTGGTAAAGTATGCTCGCCATGACAGATAATAATCCCAGAATGTGATAGAATGGTAACACTGCAATGAGTGTTTCTTTTTCATCGATACCGAAACCAATTTGTGCACTAAAACATTGAAAACAATATTAAAACATGTTTTTATACTCTATCATCAAGAAGACAACTTACTTAACATGATACAAACAGTTTTTAATTGCTTCCTGTGACAGGGACACTCCTTTAGGTAAACCAGTGGTCCCAGATGAACACAAAACCAAAGCGATGTTTTTCAGGGGATCTGATGATACAATCTTTAGTTTCTCGTCGTTATCTACTTCACCCTGGAAGTCTTCAAAAGTTATCAACGTGGGGACATGTTTTAGCTGACTGCTGGCTTCGGACACGCGTGAAACCTTATCACATTCGACGATGACGAACCTTGGACGGGATATTTCGAACGCATGCTTTATTTCTCCTACAAAACAATTTAAAATTAATATTATTAAAATATTAATCGCAATTGAATAAAATTCTTACTTGTGACATAGTCAGGATTTAGTGGATTGATGGTGGCTCCTAAATAAAAGCATCCAATGGCGGTCCAGATGTATTCAACGCGATTTTCAGACACAATTCCAATCATATCTCCTTGCCTTACTCCTAAAGCATGAAGACGTAATGCAGCTCGAATACTATTCAAGTAAACATCTGCAGCTGAATATTCTTGCTTTGTAGCATCGTCAAACTGTAATTTCAGATAAAAATATTAAAATTATCTAAAAATTCAAATTTTGAAACTTACTATTAACGTGTTTTTGTTGTCTTTGAGTTTCTTCAATGTGTTGAAGAAGATTTCCCCAATTCCTTCACCAGCGTTTCCGATTTCGGCAATACCGCCATTTAAGATGAAATTTTCCATCGTCTTGAGTGAAGACTCTCGCGGTTGTGATGAATGATCACTATTGGGACAATGTCGGTCTTATACATTTTACTTAAGGTAGCAAAGGTCATTTAAGCAGCGATAAGAACATTAATGGTCAACTCATTCTAGTCATCAACGGGTAGATCGTGCGGGTTGAACTTTGAGGCATAATATTTACTACTTTATTAGCAAAAAGTGTATGGCTACACTTTTATGTGATGTGGGTCGCACATGTGTAAAAGGCAGACACAAATAATAAATAGATTTGTAATCGTATCAATATATAAATAAATAAATGCTGTTTCATGCAACCATTATCTTGTCTGGAAGCAGAAAATGTTTTGTCTTAGTTGAAAACTTTGAGTTTATTTATGAAATTGACAAGAAAGTTGAATGAAAGGTTTATAATCTTTGTTTTTGTGTGAGATTGCGGTAAATTGTTCATGAAAACATAAATTTTCAAACCTTTTTGCAGTTTTTGGAGCAAAATTTGATGATATTATCAATATTGATCTAGTACGAGTGTGGACAATTAAGAAAATTAGTTTAGATATGATTATATTATGCGTAATTTGCAATTTACGATGACTCACAGCATGCCTTAGCGTAAAGTAAACAAATTAAACCAATTTTTGTTTATGTTTAAACGTAATTCTGTTTGTTCTTATTATGATTCTCTCCTAGATGGCGCAGCAATGCACTTATTGGCAATACATTTATCAGTCGACACCTTATCATTTGATATGGAATCTTCATAGGTAAAGAGTAAGACATTGATTTTTATTTGAAATAAGATAAATTCCAATATTTTAAAGCAAACTTATTAAATTTTACTTAAAAGTCCTTGTAAACATACGTCCTTGATTGCAAAACAAAAGGATTTCTAATATTTATTGATATTTTTTATCAATATTGTAAGTAATAATAACTTTAAACATTAAACAACCAATTTTATCCATAGTTAAACATTCAATATTTTGTTTTTCATTTGAATTTGTATATTTGCTCTCCAATTCATACGTCAAACGACATACACACTCATAAGCAGATGTTTTGGCGTGTATCGATCGTACGTCAAGACTATATATGCCCAACTCGGTCAAAGAAAAAGGTGTTTGTTTATCCTGCACCAAAACAGTAGATTTCACAGAAAATGCACGCAACGAGCGCCAACCAAGTCACCAGCCGCCACTGTGGCGAATCTTCCACGACCTGTCGTCCCAAGACACTCTCTTCGTCCAAAGCTGACCTGGATCAAGAACGGCCCTTCAAGAAAGCGCGTTATATCTGGCAACTCAAAGGCAAATACCACCTCAAATCCAGCGCCAGCCAACAACAATCAACACCATTGCATTCAGCCTGCAGCAATCATTCATCAGACACAGACTCCGATCTGGAAAACATTCCATACTCCAACAATCAACCAACAACTCGCATAGACAAAACTGTACCAATCACTCTGGTAATGCCCAACAATCACACACAGGATGAATACCTGGAGCAATGGCAAGCCAGTCAGATGGCAAAGGGATATATAGACAACACCATCAACTCATTGCTTGAAATGTGGAAAATTGCACCATTTGACAGTGATGTAATGGAAGACCTCGAAAATGATGAACAAGTTGAAGATGAAGGTATTCTAATGGCAATTCAATCACATGGTCTGCAGACAAGTGCACCAGCATTACAATCTCATTCAAAACCAACTGATGCCACCACAAGCCACAAGACTGCTGCATTTCGAACAGCTAATAATACTCCAGTCGCAATTGAGTCTGTTGACAATGACGATCAGTTCCTTAGTGCTGCTGTATCAGCAGCCATCAAGAAGAAAGGTTTGACTAGTTATAGTTTTGGATAATCACAGGTTCAAGAGTATTGGTTAACATGTAATTCCTGATTTCTTTATTTAAGTTGCCATATCAATGTAAATGTAAACACTTAGATGATAAGGTTTTCATTTATGTAAGAAATATATTTATTTTTACCAGATGTACTAACTTGCAATGCATTTCTGTTACAGATTTTATTATTATTTCTACAATATTATCATTTTACATCTTGTACATGAACATATGATATACAGAATGAATGTACAAGTTTCGAAATCATTCTTAGCAAATCACAATTGAAAAGATCACAATTTTAACAAAGAGAAAATGAAACGCTTTAAGGTTATTCGCGTTTTGATTATGCTTATGTGGTATACTTTGGATGCTTTGAAGGATCCTGGAAGTAATGGTAAGGGTGTGCAATTCCGCAATTATAAAAGTTGAGCATGTCGGTGTACGGTAAATGGTGAGTGGATTCGGTTTTTGTCGCGCTGTCACTGCGTGCGCTGTAGTGGTGGTGATGGTGAGTGGAATGATGTACTCGTGAGGTTGATACATCGGAATGGTGTGTGCCGTACGCCATGTTGAACAAAGCGTCCGGATCACAAACGAATTTATATACATATCTTTCGCCGGCCACTTTCTGCATTATTCCTTTCTCGTAATAATATCGTAGAGAACGGCTTAGCTTATCGTAGTTCATTGCTGGCCGATTTTTTTGGGCTCCCCAACGTCTTGCTACCTATTAACATATGAATATGCTATTTAAAAACGTTTTTTGGTCCGTGTTGAGGTAATGTAATCACTAATATCATTTATTTCCGTTTTATATTTGAATATAGAAAAGAATTCCTACCAAATTTCAGCTCTTAATATTAATAGTAGCTCAATCTATACGACATCTAAAGTTTTAAATGAAAATAACATGAGAGATATTCTTTTGTATCTTTGAAACCTTGTAACTCATCAATGAATTAATTTCTTGGTTAAAGCATAACATATTCTTGTAGGAAATTTAACGCTCTACAAAAATGACCTTTTATGATTTTTTGCTAACTTTACTGTTTCAAAAGTTATTCAAGATCAAAGTTGAGGTTACAGTCACATTCATGATTTCTTTCATTTTCGGCTTGTTATAATGATTTAAAACAAAAAACACTTGTTATAATTTATTTTGTTTATTCTTACTTCTTCTGGTTCGATTAGTTTAAACTCCATCCCCCTGCCAGTCCATGCAATACACCCCGCTGAAGCATCCGGCGCATCCAGTAGCGCCACTAAAAACTGCCACAACTGCAGCGATCCCCGCCGTCCTGTGCTCTGTAGCAGGGGCGATGCATTTGTTACAGTAGCTTGTGTTGAATTACTCGTCTGCCGTGTATCTGACGAGTTCTCTTTTGCTTTATCTTTTACACAAACCTCATTTTGACCTGCAAATATTACGAATTATGTTGAGTGGGTTGCATAGTGTAAATATTGTCCTATGCTTTGACTTCGCGTTTATAAGAAAAATTACGTTCTTTATTATCGGTACTAATATTGATTATGCATTTAAGTGAATATGTGAATGAAGCTATGAGTTTTATTCTCATTGATTTTATACATGGCACTCCACACAATATGCCAACAAACCGCATTTTATTTGGCGTGGCTCCGTACGCTTGTACGTGACATAATTTGCATGCCTTCTGCAACGAGGAGTGAAGACTCCCCACTTCAATTTAATCATAATAATAACACACGGCGGTGCTATTGAAAATCAAAATTGATTCTTCTAAGATTAAAAAAGAATTTTTTTATGAATTTATACAGGATGTTTCATAGTATTATATTTTTTTTAACAAAAACATCGATTTCTGTAGTTAAATCTACATTTAAAAGCAAAAAACGCACAAAAACACAATTTTTACTAATTAATTTTTAATTGAACTCAATTTTTATAAAATAATTGCTGTAATTAAAGTTGAGTTCGTAATCTCAAAGTCAGACATATTTTAATTCATTGTTTTCCATTAGTTTTTAACCAATTTATTAAAACAAACGAAAAAAATGATACTGGCATTTTCTATACTACTTCACTCCATACCACTTCATTAATTAGACATCGATTATCTGCGTCTATCAAACCTCCCCTCGTGCGTATCGCATGACCCCCACTCCCCCACTGGGGTTAATATACATGGAACATAACCCGAAGCAAATCCATGCTAAACCGCTAAAAGGTACCCCTAACTTATGTACGCAAGCATTCAAACACAAACAAACGATTAATTTATCAACCCTATCCCTAAATGGCAGTTGATATTGATAAGACACACAGCTTCACAGTTCCCGCCTTCAACTGATATTACCACCAAAGTTGCCTACAATAATCGAACAACAAACTAATATTTAACTTGGATTAAATCTCGTGTATGCACGCAATCAATATTGATTCATGGTTCAACATCTACATGATCTGCAACATATCACAAACCTGGATAATCTCGTTCCGTTGGTTCTTCTTTTATCAGCGGCATTAAGGGATGACTCAACGTGTTCTGATGATCATGTGCTGTTGACGCAGGTGCTGATGTATTGCGATTGCAGAAATTCGTATAAAAGCAGCCATTAGTCTGATAGGTGGTTGCATAGATGCCGTCAAAGTGTTCACCATAAGATGGCGGTGGAATCGGTGGAGGGCCATAGTGATGGTGGTGCGATTTGCTAAGGTTATGTATGATTTCAGTCATGGCCGTGCTCGTCTCGGGTTTTAAACTTAAAACACCTGAAACAATTTTGATTTCGTTGTGTGTAAGAAATTGAAATTGAATGGTTGTCATAATCAGTTGGTTAACATGTGAGGCATTCACTTATTGACTTTCGACTCTTTGGAGGAAGATGAATCGAATGAGTGCACGCTGCGCTGGAAGATCACCTGTCAAACTTTCTTTTGCAGCTTTGAAAGTAACCAACATCCATTCAGCGCTGTGGAGATTTTCTGCGGCGCGTAACTCGGTTCACAGCGGGTGGCGAAGCGCTCTCCTTTATGTTGGCAACAGTGACACGCCAAGAATGGCGTGGTAATACAAGCATTCAAAACTAAAGGCATTCAATTGAGGTTAGGTTTGGATGTAAAACCAAAGTAAACTAACCTAATCTTAAATAATCACAATTTTGTATTCAATCACACCCTGTATATAGTATTATATTTTTCGGAGGGAATGATTTAATCGCTGAAACTAATAAAAGTCGACCTGCCGGCGGCGATCATTTTTAATCACCGATGCTGTTCCCCTGTGTCAATATGTAAGTGTTTGTTTAAGAATTTTAAAAATTATCGGATTTAATACGTGACGGCGTTACGACGATAAACGCCCGGGGGAATCGGCCGATCGATTATATAATCTTCTATAGGCGCCCGCAATAGACGGCACATGTAAAAAATCCATGCGAATTAAATTAAAAGCAGAAAAACGTAGGTTCCACCGAGATTTGAACTCGGATCGCTGGATTCAAAGTCCAGAGTGCTAACCATTACACCATGGAACCAATACATTAACAGGTTTGACTAGAAACAAACTTGTACGGCATCAGTACTTAAATTAAGTAGAACATGTAAATACAGTAGAATCCGTTTAGTATGACTCCGCTTATATTGACCAACCGGTTATTATGACGTACCTACACTACCAAGTTTGGTTTTCATATAAAATTCTGTATAAAAAAGTCGGATATAATGACTTCGCTTACAGTGACATGTCGCTTATTATGACCCATTTTTAACAGATTATGTCCGGTTATAATGACCAACATGATTCTTTACACCTCCGGTAATGTTCGTTGATACCCGACGACGTTCGACACGTGGCGAACTTTTTATATTTATTGCTACATTTCTTTTATGATTGTCAAATTACTTTTATGTATTTATTATCGGAAAGACCAAATGCTTAAATAATAAATATAAGCATTCGGGCAGCAGCACCTTGACCACGACTTAATCCGTATTTTCCATTAATCCGAATTTGGCGTGGGTCATTCGACAATCTCAATGCTTTTTAGAAAACAAGAACCGCATTAAGCAATCGTTCAATTCAAATGTTTTGAAACCGAGGAGGCTTCGAAAATCACAAGAAAATTAATTAAATGAAAAAACAAAAGCAGACAAAAATTACAGATTACTTGCAGTAAAAAATACACTTATATGTGTTATAATGTGCTGATTACGTGCAATTTTGATATTGATTTAATATATATGTATATGTACATATTTACATAAAAGAGGGTTTTCATTTCTTAAAACGCTTTGTATGACGTCCGCTTATTATGACGTGTTTGTCAATTCCCTTCGATGTCATTATAACCGGACTCTACTGTAATTAATAAAAAATTATTTAATTATTAAATATATTCACCTGGATTTAATGCAAATGATGAATTATAGTTGGTATCTGGCACGTACTGCTCACTATCATCCGTTTCGCAACTATTACCTGAAACAATTTTTACAATTTTTGTTAAGTGAGGTTACGTTTGTCATATTCGGCCATTTTGTGTATTAAATGAATATCGGTTTATTATTTTTGTTTTATGTGTTGTGCCTAAATTAAATTCTCGTTTGGAATTTAAATGTTTGAATGCGTTGTATGCTGCATCATGAATAAAGAAGTCGAAAGCATACGCAGATTGGTAATCGCGAGGGGTTAAATGGTTCGCATTTAGGCTCGTTAATTATTAACATTGTTACGCTGTATTACTTACCTTCATGATGCCAGGGTTCTCTCCAGTCCGCTGGGAACGGCCCTGCAACATGTAACAAGAGTACATCATCTATAATGCACGCACCATACAAAAACAGGCAAAAAAACAAAACGCTTCGAAATTTCCACCGAAAATAGCGAATTTTAATATGAATATAATGCAAACAAACAAGGATTACTTTCAATTTACCCGGGTTTAGGCTGGACGTTGGTTTGTAGTGTTCGATGTGTTGTTGATAGCAGGACGGGCCCAACGATGTACCAAAAATAGTTCCCTGGAATTCAAAAAGTGCCAAATTTAGGTTAGTTTCAGTTAAGTTAGGTTAAAAACATGGTAAACTTGATTTTTGAATCAAATCCGTAAAAAAACAAAAACAATTAAGTTGCCTATAGTTAGTTTCTCTCCTCTGGTGAGTTTGTGGCAGTGATTAGAGGTTATGTGTCATATTTTCTGTTATTTCAACCTTATGAATTGTTGACGTTGTTGACGATGCTTATGACGTCAATGTTGAGTTAAAAACACGAAAAACGTGTCGTTTATTGAGTCAAATCCGTAAAAACAGTGAAAATAAAGTTGCCTATAGTTAGTTTTACTCCCTTTACACTCAATCAGTTAAGTGACGTTAGTGATGAGTTGATAGCTGTTATTACAGGTTATGTTTCCGATGTTCTGATATTTTATTAAACTACAATTGAGTTTATCCTGAAATAAATCTGAAAGTCAATATAGAAAACGTAGAAATAAATTCGGCAATACACGAATATAAAATGCCACCGCGAACGACGGCAAAATTGTCCAATTTCCTGATTTAAGAAGTAGAGACGCGATTTAAGATTACTTGCGATAAATCGACACATCTTTGCAATATTTGTAAAGCTGCGTCGAGCAACAGTTGCCCCCAGTTTCAGCGCGACGATGTTGCAGCCGCCTAATGCAACCAAATCGAATTACGGCGGCGTAATTTCTGAAACGTTTACTTTCGATTGCGGATGTGCGGGGTGTCGCGGTAAAGTAAAGTTTCGCGAATATAAAAATGTTCAATTGAATGCAGATTGGTTTATTTCAGAGTGTGCATATGCTATGTTTAGATATCCTTTTATATATATATATTCAGAACTAAATCACAGGATATCCTTTTTAAAGAGTTTCAGTCATTTCTTCACTTCTAATCTCTTTTTGTACATGATCTGTGTAATATTTGAGGTTATGCAACTTATAACTCACGAAAGGTTGGATCCATTCTCATAGTTTTTAATTTGTTGGCTGTGTGGTCATCTTGATTAGCAAATTTACTGTTAAAACGTCGGAAAAAGTCAAAGTATAAACAAGTAGAAAGGAAAAACCATTTTTTCCAACAAGGTTATGTAGTCTGACATAGGTCAGGTTATGTTACCTATAACTCATGAACCTGTGCACCAGTTTTAATGATTTTTAATTTACTAGTTTGTTTCGCTCTAAAATATCAGAATAACTACTAAAACATCAAACAAATTTTGAATACAAGCAAGAAGAGGAAAAAAAACATTTTACGCGATAAGGTTATGTTCTCTAACATGACCAACAATGTGACTAATATTACCAGATAAAAATTTTTGTCTATAATTCCATAAATAGCTTCTTTTTAATTGCCTGCAGTAAATTGATACTGATTATAATACTTTCACCATGTAAGTAACTGATATTAAGCAAAATAATATAAAACAAGTTCGAGTACAACCCTAATGTAAGGCCAGCCCCTGTTGACTTAGATAATTAAATGGTGTGGCCACTCCACACGTTAAACTGACACACTTTGTACATGAAGAGTTAGTCATATCATTAAAAAAATGATTAATATTACCTACTACGTTTTATATTGTATCGTTTTCTGTGTTGTGTTTTGTGTGTTTTCTGTTTGTATTTGAAAATTTTTGGTAATTTTCTTAATAGTGTCAAGCACAAATACTCGACGGCGCCGACATGTGTGAGCTCTTAAAAGAAGTCGCGTCATTGTATCATTACCTTAATTGGTCCAACACCTAATTGTCTATTGGTCTTTTCAGCCTATTCTCTTCGCGCCCCAGCGTGACACATTGTCAAACCGCACAACGGCCGAACAAGCGACGGTGCATTGATTTTCTTTTTGTGTTTTTCTTTTATTTGAAGTGTATTAACTTTGTTTACGAATGGCAATTACTTAAAAGTAGCGGTACTTTCGGTAATGAAATTTAATTTGCAAAATTCAAACATTATCCGCGGAAAATAAATGAATTTCATGCTAGAAATTAAAAAATAAATAAAAAATCTTTCGAAATAGAGAAAATATTAAAAATGTTGTTTGTCGATTTAATTTTTGGATTGTTTTTACCAAAAACGTGCATAAAATCATTAAAATTTTAACATCATTTGATAAAAATATTAAATCCAAGTTTAAAAATCAGTGATAACCAAATAAAAGTAAAAATAAATATACATTGAAATTAAATTTTGAAAATTTAACATTTTCAGACATTTTTCCAAGGAAAGCAAAATAATATTCCTCTAGAACAATATAACACAAACAAACTAATAGGTAATATATCAAAAAATTACTCAAAATCCAAGAAATATAAAAAAATTTGTTTTTAAATTTAAGTTTTTGTTTGTTTTTGTATAAAATCTCCATAAAATCATTAAAATTTTAACATAATTCCAGAAAATTATAAAATCCAAGTATAAAAATCAGTGATAACAAACAAAAAGTTAAGAAAAACTTACTATTCTTGAGATATCACTGGCAACCGCTGGAACTTCTTGGTCAAGGTTCATAACTCACTTTACAGTAAAACGCTTCCGCTCGCACTTGAAAAATCTGAACAAATTAGCAATTAACACACGAAGAAGATTATTGCGTCTTTATCGTGAAAGATGATAACAGGAAATATGAGGTGCTCGTGAAAATCTCCGCTGTCACGGAGGCACCTGACGGCGACGCGTGGTGGGGAGATTGATGAGTCGACGAGAGCGACCGGAGAGGAAAATTTCATCCCCTTTTCGTTGGAGAGGCCGACAGGAAACGCCCATTTGTCAAATCGCAATCATTGAATCTAAGTACAACACACCTGACACGTAATTATCACTAAATATTCTCTCAATCAGAGCTTTCCAGATTGTTTTCCTTTAAAATTATTATTTTTTATTTAAAAGCGTCGAAATGTTGTTTTTTTACAGACGTGTGGTATTCTGGTTAGAAGCGCAGTTGTTTTTGTTTTTTATTTAGTTAATTTACGTCGTGTGGATTTGTAAAATTGCAAATTTACATTTGTGGGAGCGCCGCGACGCGCCGGGCGCCGATTAGCGGCAGGCGTGGAAACACATAGTCATTGGCGGTGTCGGACCCCCTGCAGACCAATCGTACTTCCGGTTACCTTTATTTATAAACCGCGCGCGCTCCAGTCGGCGCGGGGGTGGTGTATGCGCGTGTGCGGGCTGGCGGCGTGCGCGCCCCGCGCCAGCCGGGCCAGACTTTAACCCCTTTCAATTATTCAGGCGGTTTTGCCGATTATGTGTACCGCACCGTGCGAGAGGGCGCGTTTCGCAATGTTACAATGTTACACGAATTCCGCGGAGGGGTGCGTTACATACCTGTGAGCGGCGGCGATGAGCGAATACCCCAACGACTGTGTACTTTAATCTGACAGACTCCATTAGCGCGGCCAACGCATTAAGAACGCTGCTTTATTAATTAAGTAGCAATCGTATTCATTAACTTCGGAATGGGGACACGTGGAGTAAACAAAATCAGAAGATTTTTTTTTGCTATTAGAGTAAATTATGGTTTGATTTTGTGATTTTTAGGTACGTTTTTCATAAAAACGTAGAAAAATCAAATTTAAATTGTATTTTATTTGTGGAATTGTGAGATGCAGGGGATGATAATCTGCAGTGCATTCAAATACAGAAAATGACGGTATTATGACGAGAGGGAGCTTTCAACAAGGGTGTTTGTAACAATTTTACTGAAGGATTCTTTAAGATGGTTCTTTTCAACTAAAATGAATTTAAAACACGCAAATTTTCTTTGATTTGCGTCTTAAACTAGATTGGCAGGGCATTAATAACTTGAGCAAAACTATAAGAACGATCAGTTTGACAATCCGTCCCCAACACCGCTTGCCCCCCAATCTCAAAAATGTAATCATTACATTTTGGGGGTAATTTTACACCTTGTGTTTTTTTCGTTATTGGTGAAGGACCATTTAGTCGAGCAATGAATAAGTTTTAGAAAGAGGCTCCGGCACTTTGAACCAACGACAACTATTGGTGGATGTCCTAAATAATAAGGATTGTAAGCAGCCCTTAAAGATTCCACGCTACGAGTTAGCAGAAAACAGTGGTAGTTACTACCCCTTCAAATAGCTGGCGCCAGTGCACGACCCTTGGCGATTCCAACAAAAGAGAAACCTAAAGGTCTACGACTGGTCTCCTAGACAAGCCAGGCACGACTGAACGCGGAGGGCACCGTGTGCTCGCCCATAATACCCGAGGATTTGCACACGACCCGCAAAAAGTGGTGGGGAAAGTTGCAGGTGCGCGCTGCGACAGCTGACCTATCTTACTCTTCTTCCCTCCACTTTTTGCGGGTCGTGTGCAAAACCGCGGGTATAAAAGGCGAGCACCCGGTGCGTTCAGTCGTGCCTGAGTCGTCCAGCAGTCCATGTCGCAGTTCTCTAGGGTCCTCTCTCCCTTTGCTCTGCCCCCTCCACTTTTCGCGGGTCGTGCGCAAGGCGCTCCGCGCCCAGTCGTCAAACAATCCAGTTGCAGCTCCCTAGGTTCCTCTTCTCACTCAAATTACATCTGCCTCTACAGGACAGACAAATCGTGGTAATAGCATTGTAATATTTGTGAATTAATGCGACGCAAGGCCATACGTATATTAATGCATATTACAATAATTGTACAGTTTGTTTAAAATTTATATTCAGTCATGTCAGTTTGTTTCATTTAAGTATTTCGTGGCATTGTTATATAATGTTAAATTAATTTAATTTGCCAATCACAGTACATGTTTCAAACAAATAAGGCCAACCACAACACATAAATGCATTCATCTTCATAATCATATATATCATATCATAAACGAGAGGCGTGAATTAATAACATATTTTGGCACGTAAAAGAACTTTTGTTCGCCTGTACATCGTACGTACACCTTTAAACCGAAATAAGTAATAAGATATCAGCTTCTGTTCATTGATATTCCGGATGACAAACGAAGATGATATGATATTTCGGTTATTCTATTACATTCTGCAGTTTCTATTCATCCTCATTTGATTACAAGCTAAATAATTATTCTCATATTAAAAAGACATCGCCTGGTTTCCAGACAACGCCTAAAATGCTATATTTTCATAGGAATATTTGTATATTCAAAGCAAACATTAAAATTTCATTCTAATATCTCAATTGCAATCATTAACCAGCAACAGAACTGTAGAAATTCTCTCATCATGGTGTGGGTGACTCTAAAGACGCTATTTTATGTTGTAAACTTTGAATCTGCAACCAAATCAATAATTTTATATAATTTTTAATTAAAATGTTGATTTTTACCTGTGCGGCATGTCTTTCAACCAAACCCATCATCTGCTGCTCCATTTTCTTAAACTTTGTTTGGTACTTTTTATTGTTCCTATCTACAGTCTCGGCAAGAATGCTGCAAAACGCAATCGGGGACATTCCACAATCAATATTCAGCACGTGCCAGTATAATTACCTATTAGTATGATTGAGATCCTGCACGATTTCTCGCCCTTCTAATAATCGCGCCTCGGCGTTCTTGGTGACTTGCTCTAATGTGTTTACCAGTTCCTGCAGGCGTACTTTCAGCCGCGCTTCGCGTGCCAACGCCTGCATTAATTCCAATTCCACGCCTTGTGCATGTTCAGCATCCGAATAACCTCTGCTATCCTAATAAACAACATAAACATTATTATTACACCAGTGCAATATAAGACTAGAATAGAATACAAATGTTACTCATACTCTATTTTGTGATGCCAAAGATAACAGTGCTTCGGTATCCTTGAGCTGTCCTTGTAAATTTTTCAACGCAGCGCCTTGCGCCCGCTGCTGTCCCTCGACGTATTTCAGTTTTACTTCCATTGCGGATTTTTCTTTCTCCATGAGGAATAGACGTGAAATAAGTTCTGATTTTTCTTCCCGGAGGCCCATCAATTCCTTTAACATAATATTATTAGGTATCTCACATACAATAAAACAATCAAAGTTGAATATTCAATTGACCTGCATGAGCACCGCCATTTCCAGATCGATTTTCCGTGACTCCTGACTACTGGCAGCCCTCGTGGGCGCGTTTTCTATTTGCGTTGATTCTAAAGCAACGTAGGTGCCTTGAATGTTGCTCCTCTCGGCTTTCAGGCGAGAAACATGTTCACGCAGTCTGTTTTCGTGATCAGTTGTCCACGGATCATTACTGTGAAACAAAATCATAGAAATTTTGTGTGTTTAAGTTCAAAATTGTAATAAAACATACTTTTCTGTTGTGGGACTGCCATAAACGTTGTTTTGCCATGGTGATAACAACACATCAGTGCTTTGATGTGAATCTAGATGAGAAAGAAGTTGACGGGCAACTGTTTCCGCCGCGGAGCGATTCTCCAAAGATTCTGCAACGCAAATTCAAAGTAAAACATAAAATTTTGTGTTTTTTGAAGGTAAATTACCAGAAACTTCTTCTCTTAAAGCAACTTCAGTCTCTAACAACGCCAGTAACACATCGTAGGCCTCGATGGTCCTGTCCGTCACACCCAGGGCTAACCGAAGGGCAATTGCATTCGATTCATATTTACCACACAACAATGCTAGCCTAAAATAACGCACAATAAATAAAACAATACAAAAACATTAAAATTTAAATACCTATCACAATGTGCTTTAGTTTCAGATAAAGTCAGCGCCAACACGGAATTCTGAGACCTTGCATGCTCCAGTTTCGTCCCCAATCGTCGCAGCTCAATGTCAATGGCCTGACGCTCGCTCTGCACATCGCACTGCTTCAGAATATCCCCGACAATATGCTCGGCGACCACAGTCGACAAGTCACCATTAACCAGATCATTCGGATTAACCACGCGCTGGCCATCTGTGGCGCGCTTCAACTTTATCCGCTCCGCCATTTTCGTAATTGGCACACCACAGCCGTTATTGCCAGTGAAATTGCTCGTATTCTTGACGTTTGCTTTGTGAATAGGCACGATATTTCCATACTTAATCTCCTTCTGCTCCGGCTGCTTGGAATCGCAGTCGGTTTCTATGTGCGAGTCGGGTGATTCCAGGCATTTATTCTCATCATCCGTATGGCATAGATTATTCGATAGTGTTACATGCGCCAGTTTTGTTTGGGATTCTATGAGTTGTGTCTTCAACGCGACGATTTCTTGTTTCAGACCGTCTACTAGATCGCTGTGTGGCGATGTGGAAGCATTCTGAGTGTGTTGGGACGAAGTTAGTTTTGGTTCGGGTAACTCCAATGGACTTTCGGAAAGCTGCACAATGATAGCAATGAAATAAACATAGAACACAAAAAGTTTAGAAGAAAAAAAAAAGAAGATCAAAAGTGCTTACTGGTAATTTGTTTTCTATGTCCGAGAGGTCGCCTTGTTCCAATTCGCTTACTTCCAGAGGACAGGTAATCGAATCATCGTGAACACTAGTACAAACTTCTAGGGGAAAACAAACAAATAAAGGTAAATAAGTTCTGTGTACACAAGTTTTTTTTTTAAATAATATTAACCTGATGTTTCGTCTTCCTCTGCAATTGCCATGGCACGCTGCTGATGGAGTTTACGTGTGAGCTCCGCAATTACTGAATGTAATTCTGTGAGTTGTTCTTCATACCTTTGCGCTTGATCGTCTAATTGTTGCTGTAAACGCTCCTAAAACAAGCAAAAAATAAAATATAAAATAAAAAATTTAACGACTGAGGAGTTGTTTTATTAGACACAGAAAAATCAATATTGGTTTCGGAGATTTTTGCTGAAAACAATTGAGCTTGGAAAATCATAAATAATTTCCGCCCTTTAAAAAAACACATTTCTGCTAAAAATGCTACTTTTGTGTGTAGAATATTGAAAACCAATAATTCGCTATTTAGCGAATTCCAGGTGTTAAGCAAATCTCATTAAAGGTGTTAATGTTAATACCAGTGTGAATTTTCGCGTTTCCCATAGAAAACAAGCGCGGTTGGCGTAGGTTAGTCGCGCCTTTCGCCCTGTTCTAGGTCATTCCTGTGGAAAATCGATTTTTGAACTCACATTCACAGCGCATCTAATATCACAAAACTCCGCAACTCGTTAAAATCAACTACAATACCATATCATAAGAGTTATTTATTTATACTTATGATAAAAATATAAAATATAATTGAAGACTATTGAACTTTAGACGAGTCGCATTCCTACATATTCAATATGCAGATGTTTTTCTACAATTAATTTATGCTTTGTATATGTTCCACATTTGCAGTATCTTTAAATAGAAGCGTATAACTTCCTCGTTCCATTATGTTGTGCTGAAATGTTCTAAAAGTGTGTAGAACTCATTAATCCGACGAGTAACAAGCAATAACACTTACAAGTCGCTCGAAGTGCACACGAAAAAGAAAATCGTTTTTATGTTCTGACCTATATCAAACACTAAGCCAGCCGGTCAACCATGTTTCGCGCCGCACATTCTTACTTTATGTGTTTTGGGCGTCGCCGAACGTCTCAAACATCAAAAAATAATAATTTTCTTCTTTTACAAAGAAAACGAAACATTTTTTGTAGTTTAATCATATCTTATGAAAATAATATGAATAAATGCACGTCGACAAATAGAAAAGATAAGGAAAATAATAAAATTTAATAGCACGCACGCAAAAGTAGCCATTTTTTAGTTTTAGCCGGCACGAGCGCAGGATAAACGCAGCGGATGTATTTTTTATTTCTTTCACAACGCGATTTGTTACTCAGCTCAACTTCCTTGGTCTGTCTCCTAGATTTATATCAATTGGCACACAGCCAGCGAAGTAAACCAGCGTATCAAAACGTATCAGTCGCATGTTAATAGATAATAAGTGGAAACAATTTATTTTCATATCAAATAAGCATAAACTAAAATCAAAAAAATTGAATTAGAATAAAATCAGTCAATTTTGAAAGACAAAGAATAAAGTATCATTCCCATGTAACTCAAACCGGAAATACAATACTTAATATGTCTCCCGACGCCATTGTTACACCGGTTTTGTAATTAATCCAAGGGAGAGTGTTTCAAATGTCATTCAAAGACATTAATAGCAAATGTCTTTCATAATGACATTTCATTTCATCAAAATCTTTTGTTTCCAAATTCTAACGGGGACATTTTTATACAGGGTGATACAAAATTACATACGCATCCAATGGTGCATAGCAGATGCGCCGGAGGTGCCTGTAAAATAGGCTGGTCCTTCACCGAAGCAGTCATCGCCGGTTTATTATCCAACAACGCCGGCTGCTCGACGTCCAGCCGCGGTTGGCTGCCAGGACAGCAAAGCCAGGAGCGCGTGCGTAGTTCGCCCACAAACGGCTCATCATACATGCGCTCCTCCTTGCTGATCGTATACAACCGGCCGTATTCATTGTTATCACCACCGCCGCCATTATACAGCCCGTAGCACTTCGGGTCCTTCAGCTCAATCTCGTACTCGGCCATGTAGTTCGCGTGGCCGAGCGATTTACGGTCGTAGGTGAGCGAGCTGCCCGCCCGCAATGTTTCCGGCGTGCGCACACCATCCTGCGGTATCGAATTCAGCTGCTCGGGGCTGGGTGTGCACGAGTCCACCGGATTAAACACGTAGGTCGTCAGACAACTCTGATCGCCGGCGTTCGTTGGCGATACCTGCGTGCCCGCCAGCCTGACTCTATTCGGATAAGTCGCTGTTGATCATCACCGGCGCGTGGAATATCGCTTTCATTGGGTTTGTATTCATTACATGGAGTTTTTCGCGACTGTCATCTAATACACTAATTCATTCGCGTCGTATTAAATTCGGTAAACATGCAAACATCACAGAATTAATTAAATTTAAAAAACAAGCGATAAAAGTGAATAAATATAAATGATAAATTAAATACAAGTGTTAAATATGCGTAGGAAGTGTATTAGGTTGTGTTTATGTGTGTTTTATTAAAGTTAATTAGAAAAAGTAGATAATTTCAAGTTTTTTTTATGATTCCAAGCTTTAAAAGAAATAAAATCAATTAAAAGTAATTAAAGAAGGGTTTAATCCGTGTAATTGAGAAGTTTGGAGCTGCAGAGTGTCGTAAAAGTAATTTCATAGCAAAATAAGCAAAGATAATTAAAATTTAATAAAATTTACCAAAAAATATTGCTAAATTTTTCAAAATTATTATTTTTACAGCATTTAGCAAATAATAAAACCATCAAGCATAAAAATTACAAAAATCATGCATTAAAATCTACTTTAAAACATTTTAAACATTTTATTTTACATAATCCTCATTCGATTATCAAAATATTTCACAATCGCACAAAACACAATCGCACCGAAAATATTACATCGTCACACAATCCACGGCGCAATTTTCCAATCACTCATCGATTTTCTGATACATTTCTGATAGCAAAGGTAAGTGGTTGAAAATTGCAAGCAGATAAAATGTCGGGCGAAAACGTGTAGTGTAAGGAAACGTAAACGAAAGCCGGGAAGAGCGTCCCGTCCGGCGTGCGACCGAAAGACTCCGTGGGTAACGCAACACTGCAGAACTGCGGCGGGCGGCGGAAGGCGGCCGCTGCTATTGCGTAACTATTCCTGGCGGGGGCGGCGCGATTCCAACCATCATCTTATCGATGCCGGTGGTAACATGTATCAACCCTTAACACAACTTCAATATATTCAATAGATTTTTGTTGATTTTTAGAAATATCTACCTGATTTAAAGCCTATAAGTTGTAAAAAGAGTGGGAATATTGTTATTTATTGATGGAATTTAATAGAATGGCTTTCCTGTTGCTATGTGATTGTTTTTAAATACTTTTTGTAAAACAAAATATTAACTTGTATTTTTCGCAAATCATGCCAGCAGCGCCCTCTTTCGTCGATGTAAGTTACTACATATTTTAAAAAATAAATAATCTCACCTTTAAATCTTCCTCTGTTGAATTATGACTCTTCCTTATTAATGATTTAGGTACAGGACTCATGTCCCTGGCCCCCGAGTCCCACTCCCAGCTGTCTAGTTTATCCTCTGTGATACTTTCGCGTTTTGTACCCTTCAAGGCATCAATCTCCGGCCGCAGAGCCAACCTCCTCTCCAAAAACTGCTCATAGGAGATTCTACCCTGAGCATCAGCACCAAGTTGTAACATGAGCTCATCTAATGAGTCTTCAAGGCTCAGCTCCCTGCAGACTGTGAGCAAGTCATGGCTGCAAGAAAAAATTAATTAATTAGTATACATTTTAACATAAAACAAGTGTTGCTTATGATTTACCTGTCTATGTAGCCGTCTCCATTTGCGTCGCATGCTTGAAAGAGTTTTCGGACTCTTTCCTCGTCGCAAATTGAGCTTGCAGTTTCACTGATACAATCCGTATCGGCCATAACCTCGCCTGCAGGAGATTTATGGGATTGCAGACATTCCTGGACGCAATCAGATGATATACACACTCTTGAACACTTGTAATATAATATATGCTTTCATATCTATTATTTACGCGGATGTAAGGCACCGAACTGAGGTTCTTTATTCAGAATACAAGATGTTAGTTTACTTTTGACGTTTTGTAAACAATAAATAACATGCTGGTATGGTGGGAAGTTGAGGGTATCTTTGGTAGATGTCCCTGTAGGAACTAAATTAATCAAAACAAAAGATCCACATATTCTTTTAGATTAATTTTTATTGCTTAATAACTTATATTTCAAGCCAATATTATAACAATATTATTGGCACATATGGTTTTGTTATTGTTTATCCGATTTAGGCAACCATATATACAGCAAACCGTCAACGCTCAAACCAAATTGATTGCAGTTTTATTGTTTTGTGGTTATGCTCGCAGGACGCGGACCGAATATCAAATAAAAACATAAACAATCGAATATTATCAATTAAAATGGCCAGTGAATTCACGGAAAAGTATTCTAAAATCACTTACATATTATAACTTTCCACTAATTACGTTTGCACAGGATTGACGTGCCTGCAAATGGAAATAATACCGTTGCCAACCAGGATGAGCCCCATTTACAGGAGTCGGCACCGCCAGAAAAAGGCGATAGTGAAAATTCCGAGTCATCTCTGGAACGAGAAAAGCTGCCGGAAAATGGCGACACCACTGCATCAAGGACAACAACATCCAACACATGCTATTGGTACGGTTGCCATGACAACACAGCCATTGTTTTAAAAATCTAAACAAAATTCTGCTTTTCCACAGTGGCAAGGAGAGAAACTTAAATATAGCAGAACTACTTTGTGCCAACTGCAATAAATGGTTTCATGAGTCATGCATTGGCTATCAACTTGGCAAACTTGTGCCATTCCTCTCAAATTATATCTTCCAGTGTAAAAACTGTTCGAGGACAGGTTTAGAAAGCTTTAAAAAGAGTCAAGCTCGTAAGTGACTAAAACCTACAACAAAAAATTGTAATACTGGTTGTAAAAATCAATAATTTTGCAGAAATAGCACAAATGTGTATAACCGCCATCGCGAATCTGCAGCAAACAAGTGCCAAAGAAGGCGGCAATCAAACAATGTTTAACAAAGACAAAGAAATCATACCATACATTGAAAATCACTGGGAAGCACTAACGACGACATCTCGCCGTGTGACACAATCCTGGCATTCAACAGTTCTCAGGGCATTGCAAAAAGACATTCAATTATTATTCACAACCGAAGAGGGCAGCGACGGGCAGAATTTCGGTCTAGTATGCACGGATCTCACCCAAATCAAACCCAACTATGAAGCGATGATCAAAGGTGGCACGCTGCGCATCACCGAAACCGGCATTCAGCACGGTGAGTCAATTTACGCGTTGATAACAAGACACTTTGTATATAACAACACACCGAGTGCATTCGGCGTGGTTGTAATAGAAATATGATTCAATACACACATATCTTATAATAGCTGTCGCCGGCGGCGTTAAGAATCGCAATACAAAGCGGAAATTTCCCGGCGATGTGAACGTGATGGGCAAGAAGGGTCGCAACGCTGATTTGAGTGCTGTGAAACTACCGGCGCACGGATATCCGCTTGATCATCCGTTTAACAAGGATGGGTATCGGTATTTATTAGCAGAGCCTGATCCACATGCACCTTATCGACAGGTAATGAAACATTAAATACGCAGAATAAAAAAAATCAATTTTATTGAATAATTTGCGTTGTTTTTATTCAGGAGTTTGATGAAAGTGCAGATTGGGCTGGTAAACCTATCCCTGGATGGTTATATCGTACTCTGGTGCCTTCCACGGTGCTTTTGGCATTAAACGACCGCGCCCCGCAGTTGAAAATCTCTGAAGATCGTTTATCAGCTACAGGAGAAAAAGGATATTGTTCTGTTCGTGCTACACATTGTAATATTACTTAGAATATTCCACAACAACAATTTTTAAGAATTTTTTGTGGTGTTAAAGGTGTTTCTAAAGGTTGTTGGTATTGGGAGGCGACCATTGAGGAAATGCCCGAAGGTTCAGCGACGCGTATCGGCTGGGGGCAAGATTATGCTAATCTGCAGGCTCCTCTAGGCTACGACAAGTTCGGCTACTCGTGGCGATCGCGTAAAGGAACTGTTTTTCACGAACAGCGCGGTAAACACTTCAGCGATGGGTACGGAGAGGGTGATACTTTGGGCTTTATGATTATTTTACCGGAAGTTGCAACTACACGTCGAATTCCACAAGCTTACAAAGACAAAGTAAGTTTTTGTTGTTTTAATGTAGATTTAAGTAAAAAAAATATAATTTTGAATGTTTTTTAATAGCCATTAGTAAAATTCCGCTCTCATCTTTACTATGAAGAAAAAGACAACGTTAGTGAATGTTTGAAGAAGCTAACACCGTTACCAGGCAGTAAAATAATGTGTTTCAAGAACGGCGTGCTCCAGGGCGTCGCGTTCAGTGATATTTACGGCGGTGTTTATTATCCTACTGTGTCCCTGCACAAGAACGCGACGGTTTCGTTGAATTTCGGGCCGAATTTTAAATTTGCGCCTTCTGCAGATGAATATACCTATCAAGGTGTAAGTATTTGTTTAATTTTGCCCAATTTACACAAAATATCATCGTTTTTTCTTTGGTAGATGAATGCTAAAGCCGTGGAAGCAATCTGTGAGCAAACCCTGGCTGATTTGATGTATTTGACGGAGAATGAGGGTCGTTTGAGATTGGATACTGTTGTTATGTGACAATAGTGGACCCATTTCAGTTGGTTTTACTTTTAAGTTCAGGAAATGCCTGATATTTCCTCCAGAAATTAATTGGTAGATAAATAATTGAATAATTTTAAACATACTAGTTAGATAGGTCATGAATATGTGAATTTTTAAATTTATTAAATATTGTCTGTTTACATGTAAACTAAATTAAAAATATCGTCCGGAATTTACTAACTTGCGTAATTTTGCAAGTTTATTTACCAAAACCACCTCTACAATTTGGACTAGGTTCTACAATTTTATCACTGCTCTTCCACTGTTCAGGAGTCTCTGCAACAATGGACAAGGCATGCACTCCACTCTTTAATTCATGCTGTAAGATTTCATTGACCATTCTGTGTCTCTGGAAAGTTAAAAATGTTACTTTACTTCTTTTCACATCATAAAATTGTTTTATGTTATTACTTTTATTCGAGTCTGGTCTGCAAACTTGTCAGACACAACCACAACTTTGAAATGTGTCTCAGATCCTTTGGGTACATTATGCATATAAGACTCATTTATTATTTCCAAGTGAGAAGGTGTTAATTCTGTAGATAACTTGGCTTTCATTGACTGTTCGATTGGATTACTTGTAGACATTTTAACACTTTGGACTGGAACTGTATTTATATAAAAAATAAAAACATGTAGATATGATAATATTTGTGATACATACTGTTGATAAGTTTAAATATATTAGAACGTATAATCCTTTGCATACTATAAATATTTTCTTTGATTTCTGGAAAATTTAGATAAAATAATTAAGTTGCTGAAAATGTGCGCTAGGGAGCGCTAAATAGGCTTAACTCATTGGTATGGTTAGGTGGGTTGGAAGAAGTCTTCTGACAGGTCGACGAGTTCTTTTATTTGTATGTTTTCGCTTTAATTTCCACAATTGCCTTCTAAAATCATCGAAATATCTGCTGCAACAATGTGGAAATGTCACAAGTGCGGCAAACCGGTCTACTTCGGTACGTATTGCATTGTTTAACATCAATTTAACTCTAATCAAATCATGTTGAAAGGAAAACTTTGCATGAACATTTCATTACCACATGCGCTATTTTTAGCTGAAAGAAAGCAGTCCTTGGGATACGACTGGCATCCGGAGTGTCTACGTTGCGAAGAATGCGGCAAACGTCTGAATCCCGGCCAGCATGCTGAACACAAAGGTGTTCCTTACTGTCATGTGCCTTGCTATGGGGCACTTTTTGGTCCTCAATTATTCGGCCATGGAACACGCGTTGAATCTCACAAAAGTTTCGGACAGCAAAAAGAGTCTCCAAAGATGGGAAACGGACCAACTATTCCACGCAATCATGTCGAATCCAAACTCAAAGCATACAATCAGTACTTTGATGGAAAATCCGGCGAGATTCGAAGCAGAGAAGTCAATGGTAGATTAGTCCTTGAAGGATCTCTCAGGATACACTGGGGAGTACAAGGAGTCATCCACTTGAAAGAGAATGATGATCAGAGAACAGTAGTCACAGTCAGGAAAAGAAACTCCAGAATAAGTTCAGAATATGACTCAGATGAGGATATTCAGGACATCACCACAGACAGCAGTTGTTACAACTTGTCTCTATCAACAGATGTCATGCTATCATCCACAGATACTCTTAGTCCAGATGAAAAACTCGAAGATTGCGTTGCACCTATCAATGTACCCAATAACACAGATGAATCAACATCTGAAGACATTGATAATGATTCAAAACAAGTTTTAAATGGCCAGGGACAAAGTCAAACACTGCCTATGAAACTGGACATCAAGAATGTCGAATGGGATGAGCTGGATGATTTGCTCCAGGTCGAAAGGAAGGTTGATGAAGGCGAGAAATTGTATAGAACAATGCCGGCGCCTTTAATCGCACAATCCAGCGTGGAAAATTCAACTTCCACGGATTCCAGTTCCACAGAAAAGGCTGATCAGGAAGTAAGCACGATTACCGAACAAACTTTAACGATTAATGGTAATAATTCAGTCGAAAATGGTGATTATGACTATGAAAATGGAGATATGACACTTTCCACACACACGAATACCAGAACTGATATGCAAACCCCCACACAGACGGAGACTAGTGATACGAAAGCCACGATGGAGAATTCCTGGTCAGAGAGCAACCATCTGAATAGATCCATGTCAGGGCCGGATTGTTTGGAGAGAATGAGGAATCATTCACCGGAATTTGATCGGTCTTCCGCTAGTATGACTAGTTGTGACACAAGTCGTGATACAGAAGATAGTGAAGTGGTTGTAAGAAGAGCGGCGAAGAGTGGATCAACAGCAATTAAAAGACGGCCCGGAAAAAGACTCTCAAGGTCGAAAATTAAACGCAGATGCTCGATAAATGGACATTTTTATGATAGAGAAACGAGTTTTTTTACGCCTCCACATGGAAGCCAAATGAGTGTTTGGGTAACGTCTTTAGTCAACACTCAGGAGGTGATTAATCTGTTGCTGGAGAAGTATAAAGTGGAGAGTTACAGCAATAATTTTGCACTTTTTGCTGTGAGAGATAATGGAGGTATGTTAAATTAGATTACAGATTCCTGTAATACCATTGATTGTTATATCGATTTTTCTAGAACAAAAGAAGCTCAAAGCAGAAGATTATCCACTTCTTTCACGTGTCCTTCTAGGGCCTCATGAGGATGTGGTCAGATTGTTCCTCATGGACAGCAATAGCACCCTGGAAGTGAGTAGTGAGGTAGCGCAGTTTCTGAATCTCACTCTCGCTGAATGCCGCGGTATTCTCAACCAGTACTACACTCAGGAAGAGCGTGAAATTGCGCGTATTCGCGAAAAACACGCGGAATTAAGATGGCGCATCAAGGCGCGCATGGAGGAACTCAAAGTTCGCCTGTAGAATATAAACCACTAGAGTAACACGCGAATATCTAAAATAAAACTACGAATATCTATAATCTCTCTTAGTTTGTTAATTCGTAGAGAATTTGTTGTGATTATATCAAGCAATATCAATCTATTGATGATTGATAAAAATCTATTGTATTAACTCGAACGAATCGAATATTGCGCCTAATTTAACATGGTTGTAACTTATTATTCAGTTAGGTGTGCGAATTAACCAGGCCAGTATCTACTAAATTAGTTAATAACACACTTTGTACTCTTCCAACACTGACATGTCGACTAAAACTATTAATCTAAGGTCTAGAATTTCGTCTTTAACGCTGTGTTGTAACGAGATAAAAATCTTTTTAGATTAAGCAAATGATATTAAGACTGTTATACATAGTTGATACATATAAACTTATAAACTACTTTTGTAGTATTTATTTATTTCGGTTTTAATGCGTTATTTGTTTGTTTGCTAATTTGTTTATCTGGAGAGAACTATTTTTGAATCTAGGAACTTTTAGTTTGTTACTAGATTCATTTGTTTCGTCCGCCATCTTACGATTTATGTAACATCGACCAGTCCGAGCATTTGACGTTCCGCTGTTCGTGAAATCGCAAACACTCTAGGAAAATGCAGGCCCAGAAGGCACAACGACTTCTCTCCGGCGTTTTAGGCCGTTCCTGTAAGTACAACACATATTAAAACTCATAACAAATCGTCTAAATCTCTTAAATTCCGCTCATAAAAATACGTCTAACCTTTTTGCCTGCTCTAACCTGGTTATTATTGCACTTATTATGTAAAGTATGGGATAGTATTGAGGGATGTTCTGTGTTTTGTTTGTTTAGTGGCCAAGAGGAATTACCATGCTGGTGATCGTGTAGCCACCACCTACAATGACTTGCCAATACCTCAGGGTAGCTGGAAGACCCACCATGATGCCCAGCAGAGAAAATACAATTCTCATCTGCTCTTTGGTGTTGCATTCGCCATTGGCACTCTGGTGATAGCTAAGGCTTCTGGCAGCCTCTACTTGAACTACACCCCGCCAGCCAGGCCTGCTGCCAAGAATGACTACAACTAATTACTTACAAAAATATTTAAAACAAAAGTCAGCATACAAAATGTATAAAATAGTGAAATGTTTTAGTTAATAAATTCCTGTAATATTATAACAACTTTGGCAAATGTATATCTGCATGTGACAGGAATTGGGAACTAATTTATTGTTTATTTAGTAAATACAATCCTACTAATTGTGTAGTAAACATAACTTCCTCTGTACCTGTGAATCAAAAGTCTTTTTATGTCCTAAAATTCCTTGTTGATGTTGTTGATAAAACAGCCATATCAGCAATGTTTCTTATTATATTACTAGCAATATTATCTGATTCCAGTGTTTCAGTCATGCTTGAGTGAAATGTTTGATTATTTGGGGCATAATATGCAAACTTAATGACTTAGAAACGTTAACAGGGCATTTAAATATGTTGTGTTAAATTGTCTCGTTTTTCAGTGTATGTTTATTTGTATTGCGTTTTAATTTGGTGAAGAATAAAACTTGTGAAAATCTATGTTTCTGTTTTGTTTGTGTGATATGTTTCGTTTTATGGCAATAGCTGGAGAACTCAACGGTTTTTAAACTTCAGTACAACGTCAATAGATGTCCCTTTTAAATTCTACACCACTATCTCGCAATATGGCCCGATTAACATTAACATTATTTATATACCTATTTGTTCTCAATCGGTTAATAGGTACATGTTATAAAACCACCCTAGTGTGAAGCTAAAGACTGTAAGCAATAGCACAGACTGCTAGTGTGGTCGATAAGACGCCAGGAAAATGTTGAAATTAACTTGTTTTCAATACTTAATTTATGATTTTGTATTCTGATAGATAGTTGAAGTCTGTGCGAAGTACATTTATTGGCATTTTAAAGATGGAATTGAAATTGGACTGAATTCTGGCAATTAACTACTAAAACTATTGCTAATACTTAGGTAATACTTTTTTAAGAGTATTATCTCATATTTTATATTCATCAGCCATTTGTGTTGTTATTCGGGCTTAAACTAGGGGGTAGAATTAACACAAACTGGTTTTCTGGTTCTCCCCTTATGCTATATGACTGTTGTTCATTGGTGCAATTATTCCATTTAGGTACCCTAACCCTAACATAAATCATTTATCAGTTTAGTTATAGATGTGTGATAATCGTTACTATGACTGTATTTATGTAAAACTAACTAATGAAAGTTAAAAATTTAACAATTTCCTACGTTTAACTCTTAAAATAAATTATTTACCAATTATTACCGATAATATAAACTACATTTTTAGCATTTTTACAAATTAAAATTACCTCTCTGAACGTATAGTAATTTTAAACAAAACTAAACACGAAAAACAAAATGAAGGTTGTTGATCCGTTGGCAGTGCTTACAGTGCACACCCAGGTATCACGAATCCAACCTCTATTGATAAGAGTACGACGCAGAGTTCATGCGCGTCGGCTGTACAGCAGATATGTACTTGCAAACAAGGCGGGGCCGTGCTGACAGGTAGGAACACATGAAGGCGGTCCACGTTCCAACTTGAAGCATGGCGGACGGTCTCCCCTAGTGCAGCACTTACAAACCTAAAATTAACTCAATTAGAAACCAATTAGAAACGTGTTTATATGCTCTCACCTGTATTTGGATCCGCTGAATCAGAATCCGCAATCAGAATTACAAAATTCTTATTACATCCAAAGTTGTCAACAAGAATACATCGAATTATTCACTTAGCGCACCAATTCCTGTTTACCTTGCAGTATAAACTAAATTCAACTCTTCATAAATGCAAATTAAACGTTTATTGGTTTATCTTAACTTGTTTCAGAAGCACCAGCAGTTAGAATTGCAAGTTTCCCTCTCCTTTCACGGTTATCAGCACCCATAGCCGCAGAGTAGATATCAGGTGTTAAATTGTGTCTGTAACTGAAAAAAGTGAATTAAAAAATCAAATCTTGAATAAAACATTCGCTACACACTAATTTACGTTTATATTATAATTTTTTGCATACATTCGGTGATAAACTATAGTTTTAAACAAATTAAAACAATTTAAAACAATTAGAGTGTAGTTTAAAGATTTTTAAGTTATACCTATCTTTGCTCATTTCGCTCATTATTGCTCATTATTCCTGTTTTAAAAACTAGTTCATAGTTTAACTATTCCTTAATTTTTAACATGAATTTTACCTGATTTTGCAGGTTCAGAGTTGCAATTACCTTGTAGAGGCTCACAACAATGTTGCAAAATGAGGTTCAGGAAACCGCGTGTTTCCACTTCTATTACATTATCCATAAAACGTGTCAGCACCATAAAAACATGGATATTGATAGTTTATGAAACGATCTAACGATTGGCCGTCGAGGAATTGTGATTTTCTCTGCAGGAAAGCCGTAAATTTCTTATAAAACTACCTGTTGCAGGCGCAGGATTGAAGTGTCTGAAAATTATTAACTTATATTACATTTTCGAAGATAACACTAACTAGGAGAGATTAAAAACTTGCGGAAATTAATTTTAAGGACAGATTTACCTTTTGAGAAGCTGCTGAAGAGATTTTCACACTACGTCTGTTACCGCATTTGCCGTGATTTCGATCGGGATATAAAGCCTGACACGAACCCTTCTATAGAGCGGCGTGTGAAAACCGTTGAAAAGCGCGCTTAATTCCCTTAATTTAAAATAGGATTTCGCGTGAGTTATAAATTGTGTGGGAAGTAAATATTTCCCGATAATAACAACGTGTAAGGATTAATTCTTAAACTTTAGCCGTAATATTGCACCTCTACTTTTGAAAATTATGTTTAAAATCATCAAATTAGTTATAGTGACTTTCGATCAATTTTGAATTATAGGAAGTACCCTAATTACAAAGTGAGTCAAAAGTTGGCATTTTTTATCCCCCACCCCTTTATCTACAGGAAGACGGAATTGCAGTTTCGGCCATCGTCCATTTGCGGTTTGGTCGTTGTGCAGTGCGGATAGTTCGTGGCGTTAGTCCTGCTTGCAGTTGCATCCAGAAATAATCCTGAACAAGAAATTTCAATTTTTTAATCAAGAAATCAAATTAGAATATTAATCAAGTGAGAAATAGTGAATCTACACGCATAAACTAACAATTAGCCGTCTAGGTGAGTAATTTATACTTTTTAATAGATTTTATAGCAAAGTACAGTCAATTCATAAGTAGCTGAAACAAAGAACTGAAATTCTAAATCTTCTAATTTCATATATTCCTATCGTTTTTTTAATGAATTAATCGCATCTATCGATCAATCATCCTCTCAGTTGCTTCCAATAAGTCTTAGATGGCTTTCCAGCTCGAAAAATTAGAGTAAATCAATTTTTTCAATCACGCTACAAAAAATTTTCTAAGCGTCGGCTTGGTGCGCTGTGATTGGCCGAAACCGAAACGACGCCATAAAAATCCAAAATGGCCGACTAACGGTTTTCTTTTACAGCGTGGCGTGTTTGGTTGTAAGCCAATGTTGCTGTCGGCATCCATGATGGCCACCAAATCTTTTCAACCTTAACAATCATGCTCCGTGATTGGCCGAAACATGATGACGCCACTTTATGGTGCTCAACGGTTCATTACCAAGAACTTAACGGTTTTTTTTAAATTTCATTGCCCAAATGAAGCCTGTTCAACGGATTATACAATTTAGTTGGTGAGTGATTTATATTTTTTAAAACTTTTTTTCTTAGAGTAACTAAAAGCTAAAGACTTATTAAAAATGTTTTGGGAAAAATTAAACTAATTTTTAAAATCTACTTCTATTTACAGAATCAATCGACAGTCATCAAGAGCAAATATTATTTTCACAATAACAGTCTTATTGGAATGCCAGCATGATTAATTCAGTAAGTATTTTGTAACCTAAAAATTTTCAAATCACGCGCCTAATTCTTTGTGTTTGGTTAGAACGAAATGGCGCTAGTTGTCGAAAAATTAATCTTATAATCTAAGAATTACTATATTTTACTAATTATTTTTTCATTTTTTAGGAGTTATCCTGATCGAGAATTACCGCTGTGTATGAGAAAACGAATCATCCCCCAACTTCAAGGGGAAGAAAGATTACCCAGTGACTTGGTAAGTTATCTTATAACACTTCTTTACTTTACATTTTTATTTTCCTGCATGCAATATAAACAATTCTATATTTCTAATATTTTTTGTTTGTTTTATTTTTAAAGTGTTGTGCAACGCCAAAGTAGATGTAATCAAATGATGGGGGGAAATGGCATGGATTCATAGAAGAGGAATCGACAAATGGATGACGAATGGACCAATGAAGGAAAGATGATCCAATAGATGAGGGATGGACCGACCCTCGACCCTAACCGTTTCCAACTCAACG